AAGCATTATAAATTGCATAAAATTTAATTCATCTAAAAATTGCATGTATTAATTTAAAAATATAGTTCATGCTAACTAAATACGAGCATAATTAGTAACTTTGCACAATTTTTAATTCAAAAATTGCATATATTATTCTAAACAAAAATAATTAAGATATGCAAAAATATTAAGCAAATAAAATAAATGCCAGAACATTAAATTATGCACAATTAACAATTTGCCCAAATGCAAATACATGTGTCCAAGAAATAATAGTCCCAATGTACAAATATATTTTATTTCTAAATGGCCCATTTCAATATGACCCAATTAAAATAGGGGAAAAATTCATACATCAAATGTAAAGTATATGCCAATTCAAAACTCAGACAATAAATGTCAAATCTCAGGTGATAACTTAATAATTAAATATATTTTATTAATTAAATATATTAAGGTCATGGTTATACATTTAATTGTCATAGTTACATACTTATAGGTCATAACATATTTATTGGTTACATATTATCAAATTAATTGACCATAAATTATTTTTCGGTCACAAAATAAAAATATTATAGGTTATAAAATTTATTTATTGGTCACACATTACAATTTTATAAGTCACAACTTATTTAACGGCCACAAATTTTCAATTTAGTAGGTTACAAATTATTTTACAATCACGATTTATCGAATTTTTAGGTCACAATTAAATAATTGATCACATTTACTAAACACTTCACCCCCACCATCAATCCCAATCCACTACCAATACTTGCTCACAAATCAACCATATAGTTGGTCACAAACACCAAAATAGTTATTCATAAACACTCTTCATCTCACCCATCACCGTCACAACCACCATAACCACCAACACCATCACCATCAACACAACACCATCGCCGTCAACCACCAATACCATCATTGTCGTTGTCAACCATCACCACCTCAACCAAAATCAAAATCACCACCACCGAACTACAAACACTGCCACAACTTGGAAAACATCACCAACTACCTCCAAATACTCCAAGTTTTCACCCTAAAACTTGAAAAAACCACCAACTACCTCCAAATACTCCAAATTTTCACCACCAGTGCTACCACCATGTTACGCCAACACCCAAAACAACCTAGAACAGATCGGAATAAAGAAACACCACATCGTCGTTGCTGCAGTGGAGACTGTAGCGCACGGAGCAGCTTGCACAGCACCGTCGCAATGACGACAACTGGAGCACGTCGTCGCCCCAGACATATCGAAGGAAAGAAACACCACATCCACGTCGTCGCCATCCCTAAAACCAAATCTATGTCGCTGCCGCTACAACAACAAATGTAGCGTACAGAGTAGCGCGCACAATACAGTTGGAGTAGTGGTGACTAGAGCGTGAAGTTGTGCGCAACGTCGCTACCGCGGCGACCCTAACGCTCACTGCATTCACAGCACTTTTGAGAGCCACGTGTAATGACATTATTGATGGATCTCGTTGAGGAAAGGGAGATGGAGAATGAGAGAGAAGATTCCTATTTAGTTGAGGAGAGGGAGAGTGGGAGGATTCTGACTTAAGGAGGGAGAGGGAGAGAGGGGGATTAAAATGATTTAGGGTTTGAAATTGGGTGGGGTGAGTATTTTGGTGGGCGTTGAATTTGTTGATTTATTTAATTTATAGAATTATTATTAACATTTAAAAATCATATTATTATCTGATTTTGTATAAAAACCCTTAAATCTAATTTTTGAAAAGTAATTTTTAAAAGTAGGCGTGCGTGTAATTTTCAAGTTTTTTAAATTATAAAAATTGACTGAACTTTGTTAGGCTAATTCGACACCATTTTTAACACAAATGCATGCACATTTTAGCATTTAAGAGTGCCTATGCGGTCAACGAAATGTGTTGACGATATTATCACTCGCAGACTCCATATGTAAGGCGTTTAGAGAAAGTATCGAGTATATGCGGACATTTCTTAACACTGATTTTAATAGGTTCATATAGAAGTTCAAACGAATCACTGAACTTGACAAACTTTTTCAAATTTTCATACTTTCGAGTTTATATTTTTTCCTTTATTTATCTTTGATATGTAATCTTGATTTTATAGTATTTTAATAATATTTTGTTTACATAACAATATATCCTAATATCTTTGTGATTTTATACAAGAATGAGACTTTAAGAAATTCAAGATACACTGAAATTTCGTAATTGGCTCATCCACCAATTCAAAGATATTTAGGAGTATCTTTTGTGGACTAATTTGGTAAAATTTTATATATTTTCTTACGTTATATATCGGGTGGTTATTGATTTTCTTAGGAGCCTTTTCCTTTAAATAAGACAACCCAATCATGCTACAAGTACACAAAACTTTGATAGAAATTTTTTACGGACAACGCATGATGAGAATTCATTGAATGATGGAAGAAAGGGGGAAAAACATATGAATCAGATGTTACCAACATCTGTTGACAGAATTCCCTGGTACTTGGGGTTTTCTCGAAGACAACCCTCTAAGAAAATACAACAATGTTATAGGTATAGAAATTTTTTTGCTGAAGCCATACAGATGTACATTTGGCAGATTATCATTGGAAGATGACAAAAAATACAAAAAAAAAAAACAGCCATAAGCACCTGTACAGTTTCTGTCTTTTTTCATGTACTTGCAGAATAATTCAAGAAAATATTTTCAAGCCTTGAACAACAAAAAATTAGGGCAATAAACGTTTTCACAAGAAAAAAAAATACTTATAATGTTCTAGTTCTTCACTGGACGGTTCTTGACAACCTTTGCTCGTCAAGAAATTGAAGATATCGATCTAGGTACAGAAGTTAATTCACTGTGGAGATGGCATTGCGGTGTGAAAATAAGAACATGATTTTTATCTGATTTGTGAAAAATTCCGGTTACATTTGTAGGAGGAGCGGAAGACCAAACTTGTGGGTTTGGTTCGGTTCCTCTACAATTCAAAAGGATAAGAAAAAAAGTTGCTTTCAAATAAATTTTTATTTTTATTTTATGTTGTAATTTCAAAATATTTATGATATTATGTGAATTACTTACCCACGGCATGGGACATGTGAATCATTTGGGTCACTTTTTCAAATCTGACTCAATATCTTCACATAGACTACAGTGTGACCTCAACTAGGAGCCTTGGTGGCTAAGCGTAACAGTAATGATAATGGTAATGGTGTAACAATACATGTTACAAGGGGTGAGGCTAATGTGGTGGTTCAACAATGGCTGTTACAATTTGTGGAGTCGAAGGCGGCGAAAATTGTTGTGGAGGCCATGGAGACATTGAAGTGTGTAGTAAAATATGTTTAAAATGTGTAATATATCGTGTTACAAGCGATGGCGACGGTGATAAAAACATGGGTGGTGACATGTGGGTAACACAATTTTACAAATGCAACACATTGTGTTACAAAATTTATTGTTAGAATAATTAAACTAAAAAAGAATTAAAATAATATTTTGAAATAAGAATATATATATATATATATATATATTGTATTGGGATGAAATTTGATGTTTGTGTATTCAAATTATGACTATATTTTATTCGTTAGTTTGAATTTTTGTGATCGGGTTTTATTAAACAATATTTGATTTGATGATTGATAATTTGAAGTTGAATTTGCAGAATGTTTGATGTTTATTTTTTATGTTTTTATTTAAGCATATGTTACTAACTTATGGTTATAGTGATAAATTTTAATTAATGTAATTAGAAATAAATCGAATGGTTCAGTTCTGATTTGATTCCATATGTTTTAAAAAAAAATTCATTTTTTCCATTATATATATATATATATATATTATTGGTTCATGGTTTGGTTCACTTATAATCAAAATCAAATGGGACCATATCCACCATTATTAACCGTTCACAATTACACCACTCTTATGTCGTCGTAATCAATTGGAGTCCACTTCGTATAGATAGCAATGCACGTCAATAGATATATTTTGGACATCTCCACTCTCAATTTTAAAGTGTAGTGTTATGCCGACGAAGTGTATCATTGAAGAGAAGTCCCTACCATGAATTATTACATTGCATATCAAAAGGGAAAGAAAAGCATACAATTGGTACTGATAGGTACTAGACTATGGTATTTTCTGGATCAGATGTTGCCCTGTCTGAAATCCATTATAATGAGTTTATGGGATAATATATTTTTAGAATAATATTTTATTTTATTTTTTTGAAAAATGTGTAATTAAAAAAAAATGAAAATTTTGAAATTTTCGTGTAATATTATTTTATTAAAAAATATACAGTTAAAAATGAGGATAGAAAAAATTATATTAAATTATAATGGAGATTGCGCTGGGGGAAATTTTCATTGTACGAAAGGAGCCAAGCCAACCATGCATGCGCACATATATTATATATAGAGAGAGCAAGAGAGAAGGTGACGGTTGAACAGTAGCTTTGATGTGCATGTAATACAGTTCTATCAATTTTTCAGTAGTGAATTGTAGGGACAATCTCCAAATTCGTACCCGACCAGTGCTCGCCCACCAATGCATTTGTTCCCCAGTAAATACGTACAAGTATGTGCATGTATCTGTATCTATAGTTTTCTCTCTCATTCTCCGTATCTCTCTCTCTCTCCACTGGTAGCAGCCAACCCTAATTTCCTGAGCATGTCTTGGCGCATTCTTGATTGAACTTTAGAACAAGTTGGATTATTTGAACGAGAATTTGAGATTCTTTATGATTTTTACTGTTGAAAAGGGTCTTCTTGTTCTTTCAAAACCCCATGATTATACATATAGACATTCTTGTTTAGTCACATTTCACAAGTGATATCTTGTCTCTTCTTTTTATTCAGTAGGGTTTACTTTATCCTACCTTGCCTCTCTTTCAATTTTAATAATCTTTATTGCTTCCCAGTTGTTTAAATTTGAGGTTTTTGATCATCAGTCTTTACCTTTCAACTTTTTAATCATAATCTCTATTTTTGTTTTGGCTCCCTCTCTCAACTATCATCATGACTGATCCTTATCCCAATGGCTTCAATGGATGGTTCAATCTCAAACCATTTAGCCAGTTCTCCACCTCCACCTCCACCGCCACCACCTCCACTCCAGAATCTCTTTATACTTTTAATTGCATCTATTCCACGAGTAGTTCCAACGACAATTGTTTGTATTATACACAGTACGAATCCTCACCCCCTTCCCCACCTATAAGAGAAGCTCTTCCACTTCTAAGTTTGAGCCCAACAAGGTCTGCATCGCATCACTCATCTTGCACTGCCATGGATTTGGATGATAAGAAATTAGAGAATGAAAATCAGGTACCTGATGATGATGATGATGAAGCTGTGACTTTGGCTTTAAATTTAAGGATTCCTACTCCTGATTCTGATTTGATTTCAAGATTTATCTCATCCACCTCAGATGGAGTAAATTATAGTAGGGAAGATGTAACCGTGGCTAATGGATATGCCACAACTCCCCTCAACAGGGGTCAGTATTGGATCCCAACCCCTGCCCAGATTCTGATGGGCCCCACTCAATTTTCTTGCCCTCTCTGCTTCAAGACCTTCAGTAGATACAATAACATGCAGGTATGCTCACAGTTACAAAAAACTCTACCTTTCCTCACCTCCTCTTTCCCTTTTCTCATGTTTGGTTAACTCGACTGTATGAAAATGAATATTATTAAAGGAAAAAATGAAGCTAAAATCTTATTCTGTATATTCTATGATTCTAGCTAATTCTGGAAATTCTGGCTAGTTTGATTTCAAACTTTCACTTTTTTTTATTCATTTTAAATTTCAGAATGATCTGTGATTTTTCCTCACTTTTTTTCTTCTTAGCATCTTTTTTACTAATTAATATTTCTTTTTCTTCTCTTTATTATGGGACCGGGGTTTTGGGATCTGGAAAATTTTCCTGGTCCAACTGAAAACCGGTCAGTGCATAACTTTACTTGATTGAACAACACAACCATTATGCTTTTTGTCATTGAAGTTTGTATTTCAGACATTGGCAGGTGAATATTAATTCCAGTTCTTCCTGGTTTCAGATATATATGTCAATCTGAACACTCTACCTTAATACAGCAGAACAACCTCAGAATATTCCATAAATATTGTTGCTTTCTGTGTGAATATTAATGCCAGTTCTTCCTGGTTTCAGATATATATGTCAAGCTGAACACTCTACCATAATACAGCAGAACAACCTCAGAATATTACATAAATATTGTTGCTTTCTGTGTGATCAAAGATTCAAGATATCTTTTACTGATCAAAACTCGAAACCCCCACACATAGTATTGCTTTATTTGTGAATCAGAAACTGAATGTGGCAAACGGAGCCTTTACAAAATTATCATATTCTGGGAACTGGGAAGATTTCTCAACTCACCTTATTAGTACAAGAATGCATACACGTTGATTCTTGTATATAAAAACCACTATTAAAAGGAAAAATCAACACTTCATGAGACAGTTGGAACTACTTTCGATGCTTTAAGGGCAAAATAAGTTTAGTTTTTATACTTGCAAGCTTAATAACTTGCTGTTATATTTTGTTCGACTGTGTGGACACTAATGCTACTATTTACTTATCCCCTTAATAGTCTTTAATATTCTAACCTGTTATTAGGCATATTAATATTTGGTAATCCATATATGTATTAGGTCTCCTTAGAGTTTCTGCATCTCCTTTGTACATTTCATTTCACATTTCTTTTCGTTGTAGTAAAAACTTGAACAATGTAATTCTCACATTGAGGCTAAACCACTGTAAATCTGTGTGTGTTTTTGGTTGGGATTAGGGCTTGAGCTCTAACATATACACCAATTAGCTAGTGATTTTTAGGTGACTAAATTTCATGTTTGATGGTTGTAGATGCACATGTGGGGGCATGGATCTCAGTACAGAAAAGGGCCAGAATCTCTAAGGGGTACACAACCAACAGCCATGCTTAGGCTTCCTTGCTATTGCTGTGAGCCAGGTTGCAGGAACAACGTTGACCATCCAAGAGCCAAACCCCTCAAAGATTTCAGAACCCTTCAAACTCACTACAAAAGAAAGCACGGAATTAAGCCATTTGTATGCAGGAAATGTGGAAAGGCCTTCGCTGTGAGGGGAGACTGGAGAACCCATGAAAAGAACTGTGGAAAACTATGGTACTGCACTTGCGGATCAGATTTTAAACACAAAAGGTCACTGAAAGATCATATTAAGGCATTTGGAAATGGCCATGCAGCTTATGAGATTGACACTTTTGATGAAGAAGATGAACCTGCTTCTGAAATTGAGCAAGATAATGAATCCTCTCAGTGATTGACGATGAAGTAAGCTTGATTAGATCCGTTGTCAAATTGTCCGAAATGTTTGTGATTTTTAAGAAAAAGTACCTAGGAGGGCATTGAGCATAAATGCTTTTACAGGAAATACTCAACGTTAGAGGAACCGGTTTGTTTGCTTTCTCGTATTTTCCTTAGTTATTATAAAGTGTTTTATCTTTATTTACATATTTTTATTTATGTTTGTCTGTATATTTAACGTCGCCATATATTTATTTTAGCTAATTACTTATTGGTGCATTACACTAAGAGCGAGAATTCATGAATTCTTGTTTTCTTGTATTTCGTTTTCGATTTTTAATGTAGTTAGAGTGTGTTTGGTAGAGATTAAAATCGGATTAAAATTGAAAAACTAGCCATTATTTTTTACTTTTATTAGACGAGTGGGACCCAATAACGGCTATATTTTCAATTTTAATTGGATTTTTAGTGATATCAAACAAGCTCTTAAACTATACTTTATAGGGTTTGGTTTTTTGTAGAAGGTTGGCTAAGTTTTCACATTTTGATCAATATATTTGAATTAGAAACATTGTTTCGAGGGTATTTTAATTTATCAATCAAACTTCCGACATGCATTTAAATCGACGAGCATTTGATCCATCTTTTATCCACTTGCACGTTCGAGTTCTGTTCAAAAAGGCATATGGGATCCTATGGCACGATATAGGTTGTTTGGTTCCATATTACTGTATGAAAAGGGCTTTTCACATATCACAATATGTCAATATCTGAATCTATCAGCCTTTGCCTTTTACAAATCCAATTCAGTTACTGAAGAATCCTTTTGTTGGATTGATGCAGCACATACTATGTTCAACTGTTCATTTCCTCGAGAAATAGAAGGTATATTCTTATTTGAGGTGAAATTCATCATATAGTTCCCACCTTCTTCATTTGGTTTATAAATCTCTAAGATTATAGGGCAGTCAGCTCGACATTAAGAGTCAAGATATACTATTTCATACTTTCCATACATTTTCACGCATCGATAGATTACGTACACCTTGACGTAAAGATATAAAAAATATGAAGGGTCATCTAGCACTAGTGGACATGGTGTTTCAACTATATGATTCTATGTGTCATTAAATGATGGATCAAATTAAATGAGGGAGATACATGATTCATTAATTAATCATATTATTAAATGTCACTCAGTGTCATCTAGATTAATATTGCAGCACCATCGATGTTATATAACGTTATTCATGTCAAAAATATACAAGAGTGGGTGGCATGGGGTGAGGTGGTTGGTTTTGATCACTCAAGGGGCTCATGAAATGTCATATCAAATGTACACTATACTGGAATATTGTACACTATATGCAGTACAGACAAACAAGAATCTGTCCTAGATACCCTTCACAATTCATCTCTTTCTAGTCTCTGTTGATCACTGAGTTGATAACAATTGTCTCAGCATGTATACGGTTTTCAACTTCCTGTTTTAATGTACATATTCATTTTGGTAAGAAAAATTGGTGACATATACTTATTTGGCGACCGTTAATAAATAGTTTATAATCAGTAAAATCACGTTTTATTCATTTATTTCGTAGAATTTATAAGTACTACTTCCTTATCGATACTCCTTTTTATCTATTTACATTTTACATCGTTTATAAACAACTTCCAAAAATTTGTCAACTAATATCAAAATTTAATTATTCAAATATTTTTTACTTCAAAATTCAATTATCCAAGGTTTTTTTATGTTCAATTCATTGGAGTAAAAAATACATAATTTTGACAAATTTCGTCACCGTCTCCATAAATATAGTTGAATATAAATTAAAGAGTGGTTCTAGCTAATCAGTTTATTGGCTAAAATGATTTTTTTTCTAATGTCGAATTTTTTATTAAATGTGGTATTTAGTCAATGTTTGATTTAGCGAAAAAATGATAAGAATTTAAGCCCTTGTTTGACATACATTCTTTCAAAACTCATTTTCAACCACACATTTTTCAATAAAATAATATTTTTCATTACGTCAATAACTTTTTCTTATTTTTTAACCACATATTTCTCATCATATCACTATTTAAAATACATTATTCCATCAATAATATCCATCAAACACCCCCTAAGTTATAGTCAATAATTATTTTAACCACATATTTCATGTGATCCACAAATTTATCAAGCTTAATTCAACAATATATTTCATCAATTTTATCAAATTCTACTAAAACTTACTTTTAACAAAATCAAACATGGGTTTAGTCGAGCAAAATATTTTAGGATGTTGCCCCTACTTGGTTTTGCTAAAAATCGATTTTTTAGTAGATTTTGATCAAAATTGATGAAATGTATTGTTGCAAAATTGATAAAAATTGTAGATCTCATAAAATATGTGATTAAAATTTGTTAACCTCATTTTTTGTAGGGGCATCGTGATCAAGAGATCCCGGCTCCTTTCATCCACGTAGCCTCTTCCTATACACTAACACAATCCGTTAGATGCACGTGGCCTTCTTCGATGGTGGGAAATGCGATCACAAGCACTCCGAGGTCAAGTCAATCTCTTTGTGAGTGAATATTTAGGTGTGTGACGTGCTAAAAACGTGAGCCTCTGGGAGTGTGTATAGAGTAAAAATAAGAGCAAGTTTATAATTTGAGTGTATAAAGTTGCATTACCTTGTAATGAGACTAAATGCTTTTATTATGGAATATGTGAAATATGAAATGTTGGATGAAGAGACACGTGACCTCCTTTTAACGATCGAGGCGCATAGTAATAGGCTTCATTATATCAATCCTAGACTCGTGCGCTTTTATTGTCTTGACCATTTACAGCCATATGGCTTAGGTTGTAGAGATTAGACTTAACATATTGACTTAGTAAGATAACTGCTGCAGTGAGTTATCACATCAATCAATCACGAAAGATCTTGAACTTGAGATCTTCTGCAACACCTCGAAGTGTCTTACCTCTTCCACGAGGGTTTGGCCCTCCATATTGGTTCAGCAAAAACTACCACATGGGTAGGGATGGCAATGGGAAGGGTCGGAGTTAGGGAGACCTTCCCCACCCCGCTGGGTAATTTCATTGCCCCGTTTACTAACAATTTTTTTAATTCATTTTATTGTCCACAATCATTAAAGTGGGACAATGATATATTTATTTATTTTTAAAGTTATATTATTGAAATATATTTGGTAAACTAAGGTTTTTATTGTTTGTCATATTTTTTAGATAATTTTAATTGTCATCTTCTATTAGAATTAATGAAATTTCGTGAAATTTTCAATTTAAAGTATTAATAATAATATAAGGGCAGGGCAGGGAAGGGCGGGGCTCTTGTTATCCAAACCCGCCCAAAGGCGAAGTCCCCCACCCCGTCCTCGACTCGAACACATGATTAAGCGGATAATCTCCGCCTCGTTCGGGGCATGACCCCGCGAATATCAGGTTTAATGGGTTTTTTTTTTTTTTTTGCAGCATGTCCACATGGGTAGGGATGGCAATGGGAAGGGTCGGAGTTAGGGAGACCTTCCCCACCCCGCTGGGTAATTTCATTGCCCCGTTTACTAACAATTTTTTTAATTCATTTTATTGTCCACAATCATTAAAGTGGGACAATGCTATATTTATTTATTTGTAAAGTTATATTATTGAAATATATTTGGTAAACTAAGGTTTTTATTGTTTGTAATATTTTTTAGATAATTTTAATTGTCATCTTCTATTAGAATTAATGAAATTTTCAATTTAAAGTATTAATAATAATATATTAAAAATTAAACAGGGCAGGGCAGGGAAGGGCAGGGCTCTTGTTATCCGAACCTACCCAAAGGCGAAGTCCCCCACCCCGTCCTCGACTCGAATACATGATTAAGCGGATAATCTCCGCCTCGTTCGGGGCATGACCCCGCGGATATCAGGTTTAATGGGGGGTTTTTTTTTTTTTTTTGCCATCCCGACACATTGGTAGAATAACACGGAGTGGGGCATAGATTCACTTACTACATGACTATCTCATGGTCATTCTTAGAGTCTCGTTAGAAGAGGAATAACAAAATTGAAGTTTGTTAGAATAATGAAGAATGTCTAAATGGGGTAGGAATTCTAGTAAAGTTTGTGAGAATGGTTAAATATTTTGAAACTCGTGCAAAAGGACAGTATTTAAGAACACTCTTGCAGTAGAGAAAAAAGATTTACGTGTCAAAACTTTCAAAAATTAAGAAACTTAAAGTGATACTCAATAAATAATTTATCATGCAATCAATTGCGACAAAGGCATATATGAGAAATTAATGTCATCCACAGTCTCTCTTTCTTTCTCTGTCACACACAGGTTGCCTAAGTCCATAATTGAGTGACCACTGACCCGACAAATGGAATAACTGAATAAAGCACGTAAAAGTTACTGAAGGGCAGTGGAGATCAGATCGTGCAACATTTTGTTTTTGAGGTGCGTAGTTTCTTGTATGTGTGTGCATGATTAATTCAAATTATCAACTGCAAGAATAAAATAAAAGATTTGTCGAAGTAACTCAACAACTTAGAGATGACAAACTCACCCCGCATCGAATGAGACAGCGACTCCCTCACCCAATCGGAGAATCGAGACGGGACAGAGAATGTGATCCTAGTCCTGAATCTTAATCCCACCAACTCCGTCGCACGCCATCCCTACGTGAAATTTATATGCACATATTTATAGGGGTAACAATTTTTACAAGGATTCACAAGAACAATGGAGCCACAAGGAGTCATTTGGGGTCCATTGAACCCCACAAAATTTTGGATTTTGATTGTTTTTGAACTTTTCTTCAAAATTTAAAATTTTGTGCATTGTGCACCATTTTCTCTTAGAAGATCAAAGTCTAAATCACCATTTAATTTCTCATTCCTTCACAATATCTAGGGTTTATCACCATCAAAATCCATCATCATTCATTACTCGCCTCATTGATGTAGCAAGATCACAAGTATTTAACCATCAAACCATCTCTACTCTCATCTCAAGTCTTAACCCACAATAAGAGTGTGTTTGGTAGGGATTTTTTGGGAAAGAATTGATTTTTGAATAGTGATATGATGGGAAATGTGTGGTTGAAAAAGAAGAAAAAAGTATTGATCTGACGGAAAATATTATTTTATTAAAGAATGTGTGGTTGAAAATGAGAATTGATTTACTGTAGAAAATGAGAATCTGTACCAAACAAGCTCTAAGTGTTACGTTGCATCAAAAAAACAATGAAATGTATTTTGACCAACGATGACAAATGTCTAACTCTAGCACTGTATAAGAACCATGAAGGACAAATATCATGTCTTTATCACATTCCATCTCATGTCATCTCATTAGTAATATATTTCAAACATGAAATATGCCATCTTCGAAGACTAAAAATTGTGTTCAGAATGCTTGAGACATGTAGGTGTAGGTCAGAGATAGCCATTCCAACTTCTTGGGGCCTTCTCTCGACACTTTTTGTATTCATAGGAATGATCACAAGGAGTAACTTTATTTTGATATTTGCTTTTTAAGGTAAAGTCAGGACAGCATCATTTGAAGGAAATTGTCTTGCTAAGCTTTTTTTTTCTTTCCAAATCCTTCCACACTATCCTCGAAAAAAATTGAGATTACAACTCAGCACCTTTTAACAAGATTTTTTGAGAAATTGCTCTCCAAAAAGCACCATGCTATAAAATTATAAACTCTACAGTGGAACAATTTTATCGAAATTCGCCTTATAACAAGTAATGAACTTAATCAGTACAAAACCATGTGATAGGCACTTAATTTTGCAGATTCATGAAAAATAATAAGATCCATTCATTTAGCATTCCATGCACGCTCGTGAACATATCAATAATCATTCCTTACAAGGAACAAGTGCCATACACAAACCACAAAATTAAGCTCCTGCTTGACAACCATTATTTGCATAAAATAGAGTTTCAAATGGGTGATCTTTTTGAAGAATGTGTGGTTAAAAAATAAGAAAAAGTTTCGTATTTACATGCAAAATATTTTATTGAATAAATATGTAATTTATATGAGTTCATAAAACAGAGTTTCGAAATAATGGTGGTCAAATTGGGGCTAAATTAAAAAATAACAGTCCTCAATTGGCAGAGAGAGTGTTAACTTGAGAACCACAGAAATAGTCCCGGCTGTGTCCCCTGTAACGAAACAGTCAACCCCAGGCTCAAATCCTCTGGAAATTTAACTCATAATAAATGAGACAATAAATGTCGGTGTCATCTAAGAGCTCATAAAGGCTTAAAAACATCATGATTTAGCATCGAAGGCGGTCCACATCATTTTATCCGCCTGACATCTCATTAAAGAAGTAGAGAGAACTAATGAATTTTAACTGACCAAATGCACTGAAACGAAAGGCAAACTATACTTCAGACTAGAAACATACATCATGCATCAATATAGAAAGATTATATCGTGCCACACTGAACAAGAATACCAATTTCTCCTCAACGACCAATTTCTCCCCAACGAACCTTCTTGAATCAAAACTGCAGGCAACTGTCAAAAGATAGATACTAGCTTACCTCGTACCATTTCTGAGCACACTACACTTGAGAGATGTAGAACTGACAGTCTCAAAGGTGGACAGATCATCTTATTGTGGCCACAAACAAGACAAAGCAAATTGTGCAGACAAAAGCTCAATATACCTAGAGGATGTGAAACAACAGAGCAATACGTGGATTGCTCATGCAATAATAGTCAATGGTCCTCGCCCCCCAAAAATGAAACATTAAGCATCGTCATAACCAACAAATAAGACAGAAAATAAAGATAATTTCTACATCTCATCCTCGTCAGATTCTAAATATACACAACAGTATGATACATAATGTCATACAGATCAAATACCATTCATTGTTGTGGATCATTCATATCAATATTTTCTGTTGCACTAGAGCACTTATCTGTAACTGGTGCCAGAGCCGAATCATCAGTACTAGAACTGGAACAAATACCAGATGACATGCCACATGGAACATCATCCTTCAGATTGTCAGCAAGAGAAACCGCTGAAACAATCTCTATGTTAGACTCTCTTACTGTGTTTCCTTCACCAAGTTGCTCTATATCTACTCCGTCCCCGGCAGTTTGACGGGGTTGAGGTTCTTCAGATTTTGAAACCACAGCTTCATCTCTGTTGTAATCTTTTTTCTCTGGAACATCATCTTGACTCTTGGACTTCTTCGTTTGAGGTTCAGGATTCGGTAAAATGGCTTCATCCATGTTGGGACTTTTACTCCCTTGTAAAACAACTGCAGAATCTAAACCTAATTTACTTTCAGATATCACATTTTGAGATTCAGGATTCATGACAACAGTGTCATCCTCCTTGAAGTTTTCGCTTACTTGAACATCATCTGCATGATCTAACCCAACTTGATTTTCAGACTTCGCTATTTTAGATTCAGATTTCGAGACTACAGCTTCATCCAAGCCAGAATTCTTGCTCCCTCCTGCATCAACTGCAGAATCCAGCATAACTTGAGGTTGGGACTGAGGTTCAGGATTCAGGATAGCACCTTCATCCAAGCCAGGATTCTTACTCCCTCCTGCATCAACTGCAGAATCCAGCACAACCTGAGGTTGGGACTGAGGCTCAGGAAAGGAGATAACACCTTCATCCAAGCCAGAATTCTTACTCCCTTGTGCATTAACTGCAGAATCCAGCACAACTTGAGTTTGGGACTGAGGTTCAGGATCCGAGATAACACCTTCATCCAAGCTAGAATTCTTACTCCCTTGAGCATCAACTGCAGAATCTAGAACAAATTGACTCTTGGACTGAGATTCCGGATCCGAGACAACAGCTTCATCCAAGTCAGTATTCTTACTCCCTTGAGCATCAACAGCAGAATCTAGAACAAATTGACTCTTGGACTGAGATTCAGGATCCGAGTCAACAGCTTCATCCAAGCTACATGTCTTACTCCCTTGAGCATCAACTGCAGAGTCCAGAACAAATTGACTCTTGGACTGAGATTCAGGATCCGAAACAACAGCTCCATCCAATTCAGAATTCTTACTCCCTTGTGCGTCAACTGCAGAATCCAGCACAAATTGACTTTCAAACTGAGGTTCAGGACCCAAGACAACAGCTCCACCCAACCCAGAATTCCTACTCCCTTGTGCGTCAACTGCAGAATCCAGTGCAAATTGACTCCTTGTTTGAGATTCAGGATTTGAGACAACAGCTTCATCCAAGCCAGAATCCTTGCTCCTTTGTGCATCAACAGCAGAATCCAGGACAAACTGATTTTCAGACTGAGGTTCAGGATCGGAGACAACAGCTTCATCCAAGCCAGAAGTCTTGCTCCCTTGTGCATCAACTGCAGAAGCCAGCAAAAGTTGACTTTCGGACTGAGGTTCAGGATGCGAGACAAAAGTTACATCTAGGCTGGAATTTTTGCCGGCTTTTACATCGACTGAAGAATCTAACACAAATTGACTCTCGAACTTCATCTGTTCAGGTTCAGGATTTGAGACTAAAGCTCCATCCATGTCCGGAATTTTACCCTCCACATCATCAATAGAACTTAATAGAGATTGACTCTCAACTGTTTGAGGTTCAACATTTAAAGCTTCCATCTTGGCACTTCCCTTGATGCAAGACGGTGATTTCTCCTCAGACTTTGACCCCAAAACTTCCATGTTTTCAGGCGAAATGGCAGGTGATTTCATTTCATTTCCACAAGCCTGAGTCTCTTGCATATGGACCTCATTTAGATCAGATCCTTTCCCTTCTCCAGTTTCAGGTTTTTCCCCGCATTGCTCAAGCGAATACTTTAATAGAAGATCATTAACAAGAACTTCTGTGTTCGTAGTTGATGACTCCATGCATTGACTGTTACCAATCTCGGATAGTGAAAGAAGTGCCTCACCTGGAGCAAGGTCTTTTCTTTTTTCTTCTGCATCTTCCTTAACAGAATTGCTGCCAATTTCAACCTCAGAATGTGGAACAAGTGAGGCATCCATATGATGACTTCCACTTTCTAACTGTTTGATATCTCTCACAAACAAATTTTCAGACATAGTAGAGTCCGAAGACAAATCCACCTTTTCCGAAGTTGACAGTACAGGAAATGACTCTTCCGGTAAGCTTTGACTCACAATAGACTCAGGCTTTGAATCAAAGACCTTGGCAGTATCCTTTTTCTCTTGCTTTTCTGCATCGCCCTTTTCACACGAATGCTTAGATTTATTCCGTTCAGATTTCAAAGATGGAACTTCAACTTCAATAGATGATTGAGCCGAAACACGACCCTCGACCATAATATCATCCTTCACATGTTCAGCAACTATTTCCCCAGATTCATTATAGGTTCTGTCCTTTAACATCTCAGAAACCAAATTGCTTTTGCCCTTGGGCATATCATCAGAGGCTATGGATTCATCCATATTGAGATTTGTGGCATATTCAACCATTTTGTCTCTTTCCTTCCCATGTGGAGGTTCGCACTCTACACTGTCGCCAGCAAGAGTCATTGACCCAGAAGTTGGTGCAGCCTCGATGATTCCAGTATTTAAACTTTGATCTTTGGTCATCTCAACAGGGATGCTGCTGACTTCTGCTCTAATAGACACATTATCTGAGGCTATTAATTTATCCAGCTCAGGATTCTTGGCAGACATAATAATTTCATCAGATTCCTTTCTAAATCGAGATTCAGACTTTTCAGAGTCACGGGCCTGAACTGTTGACCCAAAGGTGGATGCACCCATAGGGGTTCCAATAATTAAAGTTTGGTCTTTGGTCGTTTCAACAGAAGTGCTGCTGAATATCGGTAAAGATGCGCCTTCAGACAATCCAGGATTATTACAATCTTCAGGTACCTCAGGATTTGAAGCAACGGAGCTATCCCCTAACAGGTCTTTATTATCCTGTTGTGCAACACATTCTCCCAGAGACTGATTACTGGACTCTGACAATGGGAGGCTCAACACTTCAACTGGTAATTCCAAGGCTGATGAAGTTGATGGCAGAATTTCACACACCTGAGGTTTTGTTGCAATGACTTCATCTGCATTTTGTTTCAGACAAGGATCCTTGGACTTGACTAGAGCAACATCTACATCTGTAGAAGAACCTGCAGTCATAAATTTTATTTTAGCATTATAAAATAGAAGAAGAAAATATGACCATAGCTTACAAATAGCAAAGTCAACACAAATATGAACCTAATTCAATAGAGCCTGTCTCATACTGAGAGAACATCAATATAAATAAATAGAATTAAATTACAACACAACTTAGAAATGGAACACATATGAGCTAAATTATTTTTACTCGCCCCATCAATCAGTCATAATAAAATTTGCCTGAAGACCTCCAGTGTATCACTTGAATATACGAAATCCATGCTATGAATTAAGTTCATGTTACATTTTCTCTTTATAGTAGATTATTATCTTTAAAATTCATTTAGAAAAAAGATTCGCAATAATATCGTACATTCATCTGTTGGTGTAAAGTAATTAACTTCCATTTTACAATAATTTTCAATTTGACTTTGTAAAAAGCTGAGTAAGAACTCATGTAGTTTGACAATTATGTTAAGCTCAATAACTCACAGGACACTAATGCAGTTTGACAATTATGTTAAGCTCAATAACTCACAGGACACTAATACTTTCATTAAAAGAAAAAATTAACATCTAATGTTCTGATGTTTATGGTAATCTTTAAATGTAGAATGAAAAATATTTTAACAGTGGATATCAATTATGCCAGTGCGTAAATGTTAATTATAATTTTTTTTAGAGACTGTAGGAATATTAATAGTTTTCAAAATGATCAATAGTTCTATTAATAACAATAAACAGGTTTTAGCTTCAGCATACCAGTTTGAAATGGTGTCATACTACGGGTTGGAAAATTCCACCCCCATTATAATTAATGTTATGCATTCCACCAACTGTTTGATATTCAACTTGAGAGAGAAATCACTTTGGCATAGAAGCACTTAGTATGTTTTAACTTTTTTATCAATTTACTTCAAACGTGAAGCTTACTTTTAGGGATCTGTCGTGCAGAAAGATCACCAAAACCAGGTGGAACAGATGGGCTCACATTTGCCAGTTCCTGAGACTCATTCCCCTGCTTACTCGTGTTGGCCTTCCGACGAGTTTTTTTCTCTGGGGGCGTAGTTGAATTTGAATCTTGATTGGTTAATCCATCATGAACAGCAGATACTGAAGGCTCCTGTTTCCTACGTCTCCGTTGGGATGTCTCTTCTCCACTTTGAGCTTTGCGTGCTCTACCTCTTCCTTGCTTTGCTACAGAGACGGAAGGCGTAATAGATGGTGCACCAGGATTGGCAGGAGCCTGAGTAGGGGTTTCTTGGGATGTCAGAGCAGACACAACGCCTGTTTCTTGCTGACCGATACTTGCCACAACAGATGTACCAGGAGCAGAGTTTTGTTCAGGAACCTTCAAAGGGCTGGAAATGGGTACTTGTGACCCCACACCCAATTTCGAAGGTGACGGAAGAGCAATAATAGATGGAACTGAACTTGGTTCACTACGTACTTCCTTTTTAATGGGACCCAAGGATACTGGGTCAGTTCCCGGAGGGACTGTAGAACTAGAAACTGTTGTACCCAGTATTTCCATGTCAGGTTTTCCAATCCCGGATGGTGAAGCAGTTACCGAAACAGCTTGTAATGCTGTGGTCTGTCTTTTGCCCCTGCGCCTTGAAGGTTCTCCTGTTTGAGGCTTTCGACCTCGTCCTCTACCTCGCCCAGATGGAGAAGGGGAAGCAGCAGACTGAGAAGCAGGAATGAGAGGAGAAGCAGTTGGCTCAGAGTTGGGAACAAGTCCCAACTGTTGCATGGTTCCAGTGATACTTCTTGCAGGGGTAAAATCAGGAGCAGGTACCATAGGATCTGTTTCCCCCTTGGAACTCTCATTCATTTTTCCAGCTCCCAGAGGTGCAGGAAGAGGAATGGGTGAAGTAGTTTCCATAGTCATTCTTTTAGGCCTCCCACGACCACGTCTGGATGACGGTATAGCCTCTTTGCTTTGTTGTGAGAGTGACTCAGCAGTTTGATGTTGTGAAAGCTGAGACACTGCTGGTATTTGTATTTCACCCTTGACCACTACGCCTGGCATTTGTGTTTCACCCTTGACCACATCGGAGCCACTTGTAGTCATCGGTAGCATCGTTCCAGTCATTTCTTCCGTTAACATAGGTGATTCCAGAGATTCAACTTTGCAAATTCTTTCAGGTTCATCTCCTTTCCATTGCTCTTCACAAACTCGAGCCCCTAGAGGTGCAGGCCGAGGAATTGCTGTAGAGGTTTCCACCGTCGTTCTTTTCGGCCTGCCCCGGCCACGTTTAGATGGCAGGGTAGTATTTCTGCTTTGTTGTCCCAGCGGCTCGGTAGTTGGATACTTGGGAAGCTGAGGTACTGCCGGAACTTGTGTTTCACCCATGATCACAACAGAGCCACTTGTACCCATTTGCAGTATCTTTCCAGTCATTTCTTCCTTCATTATAGGAGATTCTGGAGACTCAGCTTGACACATTCTCTCAAATTCCTCTTCGGTCCATTGCTCTTCATATGAGCGAACCTAAAAAGTAAATAACCAAAAAAATGAGAACTCCAAACAAAGTTTCATTTCTATTGGAATGATCAGAAATGCAAGATAATGGATACACTTTGGCTAAACATAATGTAGAAAACAAATGAAACAGACGATGAATGCCGATAATGTTGCAAAATATAAGCAAACCTCTCTAGCTCGTTTGCCCCTTCCATAATGTTGGGTATCAAGCCCTCCGACAGACCCACTTTTTCGCTTCATTGCAGCATTAGATCCGACGCCTGAATTTGGTACTTCAGATATCTTCATGGCTTTGTAAAATAGTTTTAAGTCATCATCCACTAGAAGTCGAGAAGGCAAAGGAGGTAAAGACTCAGACTTTTCTACCACTTTCCCACTAAATAAATTTTGCCATGCCACCTACAAAATTTGCAGCTGTCTTGAGTAGAAAGAACCGAGTGACATCATTGAACATAGTATCAAACCTATAAATGAGGATAACACGATGTATGTGAGGATTTTGGGGATCACCATTTCTTCTTCCCGCCTCTGTTTGTCAACCAACTCAAAGATATCAATTTCAGACCCACTACATCACAATATCATTAGAAAACAATTAGTCAACATACATGGGAATGTGTGAAAAACGTTTTCTTAAACCAATATTAAGAAAGAAGAAAGCTCCAGGACTACACAGTAACAGCTTAACAGAGGAATACAGGTAGCATAATGTTAAGCAGCAGCATTATGCAACTAATGGCAGAATGTTGAAAATTTTGCCGATTTAGAACACAAAAATGAGATTAAAGGAGGGAAGTAAGAAGAGAATTTGACGCGCAGAATTCCTCAAAGCCTTCAATAAGACACCTAACATGGCACATGCAGGTTCAATAATATGTACAGTAAGACGGTTTCAAGCAGGGAAGATGGGAAAACACATAAGTCAATCTAATCAGGATAGAAAGAAAACAAGTTTTGACAAAGGATATAAAGCTACAATATGCCGATTAAATCTTAAGTGACAACCAACCATCTGAGTAGAGGAATATAGATGCATGCTTTTCAGTCTATCTATGGAAACCTTATTTCCTTGATGTTTCCAATTCTTCAAAATTATAATAAGTTTTTTATCCATTTGATCTACTAAAGTAGATCGGTAGACCATCTAATAAAAGCAGATCTTGGTCCATGTCCATATGATCTACTAAAGTAGATCGGTATTGACCATATAATAAAAGCAGATCTTGGTCCATGGAGTCCCAAGAAGGTAAGAACTCCAACGTGTCTGATGCTTCTTCAGCCAAATACAATATACAAGTGGGACCTACAATATAAGCAAGCTGTGCAAAAAACCGCTTCTTTTTTCCAGTTTTGAAACAACTTGGACTAAATAGGGTTCTACCGGGAAACCGTGGATTTTTTAGTTTTCAAGACGATTAGGCGGTCTTCAAAATAGAAGCAACATTTGGCGATAAGCTTCAGCTTGTTTGGAGAGATCATCATAAACGATTAAAGTGTGTTGTTTATGGCACATAAAATATTCGGCCAAAGCGACCTAGGCTAGGGAGGGATTGGGTTGCTTTTCTTTAGAACTTTAGTTTCTAAAAAGGCTCGAAAAGACCTACTTGACGAGCTTCCTTACGAGTGAGTTCGTAGGAGCCTTTAAGTCGAGTAACGAGTGTAGCAAAGGGAATCTCCTAAGAGAAGCTTTAGAGGGAATAGGGGGTGAAACAACTTTTATGAGTTGTCTATGTAGTGACCATGTGATTAGTAGCTTAGCTGTTAGCTGTCTAAAATTATAAAAGTGTTTATAATAATTCAAGAACTCTGGTCTTACAAATAGCTATTACACCAACATAAATCATTTTAACCACAGTGGTTACTTTAGAAAAGGTTGACAATTTACATATGCAAAGAGTTGAGCAGAAGAAAAAATCTACCTGCGTGCAATAAGATCATTTAATGCGTCATCATCCAAAACAGGTGTAGCTTCCTCTTTCTTGCACTCCCGCAGGAGAGCCTCCAGGTATTCTCTACGATCTTCCGCACTGAGATATGATTTACAGATTTTATTTAGCATACATCAAAACTGCTCATACTTTTCATTGTTTTTCAGTTAAACAGTAACTGAGTTACCTAGTGTTGTTGTCAAAAAAACCAGCAGTTATACTCTGATTAGCAACCCCAAGTTTGTGTTCAGCAGCAGCCCTAACTTGCTCCTCCACCGTTTTAACCTTGTTCAAGAGTAATCCAATATAAGAACAAATGTTTAAGTGATCAGAAAAGGTAAGTTCTAAAACCAGATCTATGCACAAAAGTATATGAAAATTCCATGCAAGATAAGGGATTTGAACAATTTAGACTTGCATAGTACTATACAAATATAGTTAGAAACTGAACCAATACATGAGTTTGAACCATAATAGACTTGTATAATACTAAACCAAATATAATTAGCAGCTGAACCAATACATCTTGAAAGTTGTCGAGCTATATTGATAAAACAACTATGCACTTATTTAGCATGGTTATAATTCTCATCTACCATCAGAAATCATGTTTAACATTAGGACTTCAACATGGTACTGAACATCTATATTTTAACAATACCTTTATTGGGAATCTCTTTTAGTTTGATTCTGATATTAAGTTTTACTTCATCAATAGTTAAAACAAATAAGTAAATATGCATTTAAGCTACAGAGCGCCAGAATCTTAGTTAACTTCAAAAAAATTCCACGTCACAGTCTCATGCATGTTATTTACTGTGACATTCAACTTGCTAAACCAGCAGAACTTCGAAATTTGACAGATTTTTTAATATCATAGTACCCCTGGCAAGAAAAAATTGGCACCAAATAATAATCAACAATAATCTGTCATCGACAAGCATTAACCCATTGTTAAGTTATCAAAAATCCAAACCAATAAAGACATCAAAACTTGAGTGAGGATTGAGGTGGGTACTATTATGAGCACAAACAAAACAGCAAATTCCCCGCAGGAAAATTATAATCATCAAAAAGAAAGTGGTGTTGAATTAAGCATTAATATTGAAACGGTAAGAAAATGAAATTCTTCAGGTCAGAGCTCCATATTAGAAAGGGTATATCTCAGAAATAGAGTAATCTTAACATTCCATGGACCATAAGCAAACAAACAAAAATATACAGTAATTCCAGAGTTGAGTTACTCACCGTTTCTAACCTAAGAACAAGAACATCCTTCTTTTGACCAATCCTATGAGCCCTTGCCTGCGCTTGCAGATCAACCTGAGACAAAAGATTTCAGCAAAAATTGAGTTCTTGCATCAAAGGATTTTACATTTTATAAAGAAGAGCAGCATTGAATGTTGCCTGAGGATTCCAGTCTGTATCAAAGATGATCACTGTATCAGCAGCTTGAAGATTTACACCAACACCTCCAGCTCGAATGCTGGAACCAAATTATAATGGGTCAGTGCAACAAGACAAGCACACTAACTTGGAAGATTAACTACCACTGAAGGTGCAAGTCCACTGAAATATCATCTTCCAAGTGGGAAAGGACCTACATATGGCCTGGGGATCCATGTTCTCCTGACCCCAAGAATAACTCCACTTTCTGCTTTAGTTATGTTTTTTGATAGGTTGCCCCCCTCACATATCTATCTAGCTTGTGCCTATTTAACATGCTAACGTAACAATATTACAAAGTTACTAGATAGCCACACTATTGTATTGTGTGGAAGAGACTGTTGTTAACCCTAGACTAACTTTGCAGCTCCTGACATGAAATGCAAATATTACTCTACTGATTCTATCTTTGAGTTTTCTGGTAATAAAATTTGTGTTGATTGAATGAATTATTTGGATTTCAGCTCACTATAATGGATACAAAACAGGTCAACGTTGTCTAGCATTATTATTGAATTAAAAAGACAGAATGATGTCTCTTATTCTAGTCAAAATATTAGAAGTTTGAATTTGTCTTTTCAGAAATCAAACCACACAACCACATCACCAGATAGTCATTCAATCCAATCCAGCCACATTTCAGTATTTTTTTCTGGAGTTGCCACAATAGCCAGCATCAACAATCAAAGTAACATTAAAAAATTGCCTACTCAGATCACTTAGAGCCAGCGTTGGAATTGGATTCTAGAAGCCCCAATTATTGCACCTCTTACTGATGCAAACTTTAAGGAACGCATCTCTAGTCAAATCTAGGTCTTAAAGAATTCCAATTTTACTGGTCAGGATAGGCTAAATCATTACCTGAGCAAAAATATAAAATACGGAGAACCAGGTTGATTGAAATTCTCAATAAGAGCCCCTCGATCACCCCCAGATGTATGTCCATCTAAGCGAAGGTATTTATATTGTTTCCAGCAGAGATAGTCCTCCATGACATCAAGGAGTCTAGTCATTGTTGAAAAGAGAAGAACCTGCAGAACATAAAAATACAGATTTTCTAACAACCTGTGGAATCAGTCCTTCAAGTAACTGGGAAGCTTAATAAAGAATCATATCAGAAAAGCTAAAAGAAAAAAATTTCACGGGGAAAATGGGCATATCAGAATAAGCGCCTTCGCCCCCTTCTCTTTAAACAGAACAGAGGGGATTTTAACCTTTGTTGTTTAAATCCTTGATAGCAAGGAGAGGCACAAGGGGATCCACATAGCCACAGTTACATAATTATAGGACAGGGCTTAACTAAATATCCATATACATCAAGGTCACTTTAGAGCTATGATTTTATCTTCCTTGTCTTTCTTCAGAAAATACTGTTATTGCCATGAAAGGATAACAAAAGCATTTAACCTTCAACTACGTTGCACCAGTTTCAGACTTGGATAAAATGAGAAAAAACAAACAAAGCACCAAAGTCGGTTTAGCCAAACAATGGTACCTACAGCATCTACCAAAGATAATGATTTTTTCAGAAACCAATGAATAGCCCCACCACAAACCCTGCCTGCTCTCAAGGGAAAAAAAACACTGCAAGTCAACCCAAAAGGTTAAAGAAATAAAGGGGATAAACAACAAACAGATAGATCACCAAATGGAAAAAGGAAAGGGAGAAAAAGAGAGCAAATTTGCCAAAGCAGTTCGAAGAAAAAGACAAGCACATAAAGTGAATAATGTAGTACATAATCATGATTAGTAGTTTCTACTATAGTTGTGATTTATCTTTATAGTTTTCTTTCATAGTTTTAATAGGTTTATCTTTTTATTCTTATTTCTAATTAGAATAGGATTTCTAGTTTCTTTATTAACTAGAATGGGAATTCTAATTCCTTTAAGATTAGGATTTTATGAGTTTCCTCATTTTAATTTCTTTATATTAATAGGATTAGAAAATAATATTGCCTATAAATATAGAGGTATTGTATACTTCTTAATTACTACATAATTCTTATGACAAAAATTTCATCAACGCTTCCGCACCAAATTGTCATCAACCAAGCAAATTACCTTATTCCGATTGCCGACGAAGGTCCTAGTGGTGTCAAACCGTCGACGACGAACAGAGGCTCAATGAACTTTGAACGACAAATCAACAGGATAGATGAAAACCTTCACAATATCAAGCAGATGCTGGTTGCGTTGACTCTTTAAAAGAATCGTGGGCCTGATAAGTTTGTTTTTGCACACTCATTTAATACTTAAACTAAACTTATTATTGATTAAATGAGTGAATTTCTACTCACAATTGTGTAATTTATGATTTTATAGGGAAAAATCACCTAAAGAAAAGATAACAAGGCAAAAGGAGGAAAAATGGACTTAAAGTGTGCAAAATTGTGAGTTTGGAGAGCATAATTGAAAGAATAGTCAATTTGAGGACCAAATTGTATAATATCATAGTTGAAGGACCTGATGTGCAAATTTCTAAAGGACTTGTGTGCAAAAAGAAGTAAAAAAAAAATCAGTTGGCAGAGAATTGCCGCCTAGGTGCCACTTTTAAAAGTCTCGGGACTGTTTTGCTGTTGTCCGAAACTTCAGGGCCTTGGCGGCAATTTTCCTAGGGTTTTATAATTAAAACCGGTAGCTTCCATTTGGCGGCAGTCTTCTTCCTTGCTGGTTTTCTTTTCTTTTTCTGTCTTTTTCTTGGTATTTTGAGGGCAAAATCAAGAGCACAAGGAGAATAAATCTAAGAAAATGCGGAGAAGAATTACGGAACTCAAGATTCAAACAAATCCAACTAAAAATGGTTTTTTTATCTTCAATCTCGTATTTTCTTTATTATTTTATATCATTTGTGATGTATTGGATAAATATTCCCCTTTGTCATCATATATATAATATAGGCTAATTTATTGTGTTGGGACATGGTAGTAGTTTAACATAACTTTAATTAATTTTAATATTTGCTCTTTAATGTTAAAATGATTATTTCCACGTGTATTTTTTATTGTGTTGAATGCCTTTCATTTATTTGGCCATCAAATGACTAAGTTTAATGATTTGTACATCGTTCGAGAGAACAATGTATATTTTAGACCAAATAGTAAATACCTAGTCTATGTAGCGGATAGAAATATACCCAATCCTAGGAGATTCATTGAGTTATTTTCACAAATATTTAACGCAATTGTTTGGTTTGAATCGGCATAGAGATATAATAGGTTAAACCAATCAACTAGGGTTAATTTCACTTGAGAGAGGTAAATAACTATAATTGAAAAATCGAGTCTAACATCGTAAACGAGTAATAGTTAATTGGTCGTAGAGAAATTAATTAGGCGACGGTTAAATAAAATCATGAATCCCAACACGTTTTCCTTCGAAATTCTCAACATTTTTATGTTTTCTTATTTTATAGATTTTTAGTTATTTTCCAAAATCCAAATCTTTATTGTGTGTTTCTTTGTTAGAATTAAATTGATTAAAGTTGTGTAATCGAAAGTAAACATTTCTCAAGGGATCGACAACTTGAATTCAAAAAATCCACTTTATTACTTGAACGCAACCCGCGCACTTGCAGTTTGCACTTTCTTAGCGAACAGAGCCCATTGAGAAGCAAGCCGATAAGAATTTGCAGAACTTAACTGCTATGAATATTGGTTGCTTCAACAAGATTAAAACACGGCAATTGGAGGCTAGAGAGTCCCAACTAAGTTTGAATACCCACAAATTATTAAGGATTCTACGAAAGTTTATTAAGAAGATGTGAAAGAGTCAAGTTTGAAGTGCAAGAAGATTTTTAAAACACAATACACCATCAACAATAACGTATATAAAGTGATAATAAATCATGAGAGTATAGAGAACTTGGTGTCCAAAGTATTGGTGAAAGCTTTAAATTTGAGGACGGAAAAATACTCATCTTGCTATCAAACTTCACAAGGTTAAGAAATTTGAAATATGGAGGTATGTAAAATTTCACTTTCTCTTGGAAAGTACTACAAAGATGAGATTATATGTAACGTGGTAGAAATGGATGATTGTCTTATACTTTGGGGACAACCATGATACTATGACATAGATTCCACCTACATGAGTTGAGATAATAGGCATGTGTTTAGGTGGTACGATAAAAAGATTGTTTTAGTATCATATGATGAGCAATTTGTGAGCATTAGTGTAAACAAAGAGAGAGATCCTTAAGGCAGATGATGAGGTTAAAGATGTAATTCAAGATAATAAGGAGTTTACCGTCAATGATACCACAATAGAAAAGAAAAGCATGTGCAAGTTGAAAACTCGAAACTTACTGATCCTTTATGCGTGAAAATTGACAATAAAAATAAGCGTGAGGATGCAAAACACTTAAATGAAATTACAACTAAAAACCCCAAGATCGAGTCGTTTTCTAAGGATTAACAAGTTGAAGATCATAAGTGAAAAACATGAGAGGAAGAAATCAAACTTAAATCACAAAGGAGTCAAACATGAAGATTGTTAAATTGAGTATTAAAATTGTCGACCTTTTCTACAACTTCAGTGTCAAAGAATTGCGTAAGAATAAGGAAAACATAGACGATGAGGATTTGAGTCCGCGTACCAGTTCTTTTGTATTCAAGAAAGCATCACTAAACATTATTAGCAGAAGATGAGAAGTATGAATAATTGAAAAAAGCACCAGTGAAAGCGAACTTAAAGATGAGAAATCAAATCATGCTTCGTTAATAAGGGAATGCCATGTACAAATTATTCGTGAAGAAAATATAAAAAGAATGATACGAACAAAGTTGACTTTAAATAATGCAACTAAAGGATATAGCGAGGAATGATACGAACAAAATTGACTTTAAATAATGCAACTAAAGGATATAGCGACATGTATCGAACATATCAAGAAATTGAAATTTCTTTAATATTAGTATTGACAGAAATTTTTGAGTATTTTTCTCCTGATTGATTGATTTTTTTCTTCAAGAAAATTTGAGGACGAGTTTTATTCAGGTAGGAGGATTGATGTAGTACATAATCATGATTAATAATTTCCTACTACAGTTGTGATTTATCATTTCTAGTTGTATTTTATCTTTTCTAGTTTTCTTTTCTAATTGTAATAGGTTTTATCTTTTTATTCTAATTTTTTCATTAATTAGAATAGGATTTCTAATTCCTTTAAGATTAGGATTTTATTAGTTTCCTTATTTTAGTTTATTTACATTAATAAGATTAGGAAATAATCTTGCATATAAATATAGAGGTATTGCATATTTTTTTATTACACCAATCATTATTCAATAAATACAAATTAAATTATTTCAATATTGTTCTTAATTATTACATAATTCTTATTACAAGAATTTCATAAACGCTTTCGCACTCGTGAACGACGCAATTATTTTCTACAAACAGCTCAATGCATATTGTGATGCATAACAAAGAACTAACATGATGACTCTAACCTCAAAAACTGGAGCATTTCAAAATTATATACCAGAAACATAAAAATGATAATGATAATCAAACAAAGCTATCGATGCGGGGAAAGAAATGTAGTATTTGACATATCATACAACATATTGCTAACATTTAACAGAACATAAAAAAAACTCCATCCGAACACGAAAATAGAAAAACTCACAATATAACACCAAATACGAACCATAAAATTGAATTTCCATACCCGATGATCAGTTGCCTTTAGCTTGGGCAGCAATCGATCTAACATTTCAAGCTTTCCACAGAGTCTCACAATATTAGGCAGATAATGCTTCGGAATATAATCATGAACCTAATTAAAGAAACAAAAGCATATCTCAGCTAAACAGTAGGAGTCCTATTAACTTTTGTAAGTCAGCACTAATCTTAACTTCTAGCATAGCGCAGAACCAGGAAAGTTATTTTTGATTGCTTGAATTTATTAAGATAACTTATCTTGTAACTTTATCAGAGAACATTGTAAGCTAATTGAAGATTGAAAAAAATACCTCCTCCACATGAAGTTGGCTGAGATATGGATGATTGCATATATTACGCAGTTCCATCACAGAGTTATGCACTGACCGAGCCTAATGAAACAGTGAGTTTAAGGTCAGAAACAACTGAGGTAACTTTCCAATACACAAATTCTTCACAATAATGAAAGTGTATCAGATTCAAATTATATGGGTTGACACAGTAATGTGAATAAATAAATAGACAGGAACAATGTGGGTCTGCATGACACAAGGGTTCATGAACCATGTTAATATAAAAATAGAAGGATAAATGTGTGTTTTTTTCTTCACACATGTACACTGAGAACCAAGATTTCAGAAATAATGAAGATTATAAAGCCCATGTTTGAGCCCCAATTTTATCAAAAAAATTCATTTTCAACCACACATTCTCCCGTAAAATAATTCTACACGTAAACCCAAAACTTTCCCCTATTTTAAACCACAAATTCTCCAAAAATCACTATTACAAAACTCATTTTTCTCAAAAAATGGGGCTCAAACAGGTTCAAAATTAGAAACAAACCTTTGAAGTTCCAATTGCACCAAGATTCTCTTCTACCCTCTTCATCAATAGCTTTTGATATCCGGAAGCTTCACATCTAACAAGCCTTTCAATCTTTTCAGGTAATTCATGTTCAACCTAACAAATTAAGACAAGCAACAATTTCTGATATCAAAATGCCATCAGATAATATACCATTATGATTTCATGTAAAGAAGCATAAAATGTTTGTGAACACAACTACGTGCATTTAATGAATGCATGATAGCCATAAATAGAGAAGTCTAAACAATAATCTTAATTTTTTTTTAAGCAAAAAATTTAACCAAAATATAAAGAAATATCAATTGACAACAATTACATATGTTACACTAATCACATTCTTCAGAAAAACTACCTTCACAATAGCAGGTAAGGGCATCTTTTCTTTCAATTTTTCTGATTATGTATCAAACAAGTCTTTATGTTATTCAGGCCAATTTCTCCTTTTCCAGGATGCAATTTTTATGATTATGTATCAAACAAGTCGTTATGTTATTCAGGCCAATTTCTCCTTGTCCAGGATGTCATTTTTCTATGGGTCGGTCTAATGTGAATTCCCCTAGTTGTAAAAAGGGTAACCCACCAGCCTCCTATCAGAAATTTTTATCATAAAAAATATACTGATTTAACTCCCTCTTTTCACAATATAAAGATCCACTGTTCTTTTTAATCTTTATTTTTAACCAAAAAAAATATATGAAGATAAACAAAGCAGTGTTTTTTTTCAAGTATGTTTTGCAATTGTATACAAGTCACATGCCATTTGTCCATAAGGGATAGATAATAACAATAAAAAATTTCCAGTTTCCAGAGTTAAATAACTCCAATAGACATGCTAACAGCAAAGAGAGACCTTAGACAGCAAAATAACCAGACACTCCCATATATGTACATGAAGATTCTTATATGTTGGTATAACCCCCAATAAAAAACAAAGCATTGTTTTGCAAATAAAACCTTGTGTTTTAATCTTCGAAGCACAAACGGCCGCAGCACTTGGTGAAGACGATTTATGATCAAAAGATTTTCCTCCTCAGATAGTAAAGCCTAGTCAAAATGAGCATTAAGCACAAGGAGTTGAAAAACTTAGAAAAAGAAAAGATGCCAGATTGGCATCAATCATTGTAAAAGTAGTAGTAGTAGTAGTAGGAAACTTACTTCATCTGGTGAATTGTCACCATTGCTTTCAAATGGTTTATTAAACCACTGGGAAAAATCTTCTGATGAGTTAAAAATATTGGGCAACAAGAAGTTAAGCAGTGCCCACAATTCCTCTAGATTGTTCTACATGGAAGAGAGCCGGGGGGGGGGGAAGGAATATTTTAGCACATACTAACACAAAAAGGTCAGTATCGAGTGTAGACTTTTATGTATTACTCAAAGCCAGGTGCTGAGAATAAAGTTACGTGTTTATGCAATAGATACTAAGAAATGACTAATGTGTAATGCATAGACTAGATGAGACCTGCAAAGGAGTTCCAGTCAACAGCAATCTATGATTGCTACGATAATGCTTCAAATCAGCATTTAACTTGCAGGAAGCATTCTTGATGCGATGTCCCTCATCAATTATGAGATAATGCCAATGCACTTTGCTTAGCTTTGGTCGATCATGCTTGTTCATTAAATACTCGTATGTTGTCAGGAGAACATTGAATTTCTGAGGAGCAATTTGTTCCCTACAATTCAAAATAACACATAAGCAGTTAAAGATTAAAAAGGAACTGCAGAACAATAAGAAAGAAACAGCTAGCTGTTCACAATGCTTACTTGAACAGTCTTCGGCGTTCTTCAGGCGGCCCAGAATAAACGATTTTGTGGATACTCGGTGCCCAGAAGTTTATCTCTGACTCCCATCCAGGTAAAACTGAGGATGGTACAACAACTAGAAAAGGTCCTCTATCGTTTTTTGTTTCCATTAGGTAACAAATTAGAGAAATAACCTGTAAAAATGGACTTCATCGGATCTACAATTCCATAAACCTAATATTGATGCTGCAAAATAAGGTTTAATTATACTGGCATATAAATTAGATGAAAATCATACCTGAACAGTTTTACCGAGGCCCATTTCATCAGCTAGGATGCCATTCAAGTGGTTATTATAAAGTGAAACCAACCATCTCAGTCCATTCATTTGGTACCTTAAGAAAACCCACAAGGCAAAGAATCAGAACACAGCATAACATTAAATACTTAATATATCCCCACAAAATATAATTCAGAACTCATCAACAAAAAAATTCGGTAAGGGAAAAAAAAAAGTCAACTTCCAACTAAAAAGAAATTAAAGTTGGAATAGTAGACATCACTCACTCTCTCAATTTTCCACCCTCGAGGCAAGTCGGCTGCTCCCCAATGTTCTCTTTTATGCTGCAGAAAAGAACATGTCATGTATGTCGATCTTGAATACAAAGACATGATGGAATTTAAGATTTCTTTGAAACTGTATCTTGTCATAAGCTTCAAAAGTTAACTTAAACAAGAAAGGTGTGCCGAAAGTAAAAAAAAGCTGATAGAGACGAAGGTTGATCCGAATGAAATAACTGTGTTAAAACTAGCATACGAGGAGCATAATGTTGTATAAGATTCACATGAAGAAAATATTTCATAATTACCTATGAGCCATCAGGTAGTACTTCTCATTGCTCTCCATATAATGCTGCAGAATATATAACTAACTGAGAAAGATGGACTAATATTTATTTGAGACGCTAAACCAAAAGAAAATGAAGGATGAAAGCCAGATTCTGTTAAAGAACAATGAAATCATCACCTTGGCCTGATCCTTTTCGTCTTCATTCTCAAAAATGAATTCATTCTCTTCAACACCACTACTGCTCTCGTCCATATCAGTTTCAAACTGTCTTTCCAATGTCTTGGCCTCCTTTAGTTTTGACCCAAGCTTTTGCAGATATTTCTCAGTCTCTTTCAGCAGCTGCTTAACACGGTCTGACTTTGCATCCTATAAGCATATCGAAAGAATTTTCAAAGAGAACAAAGACATAAATCCATCCTCAAGACAATTAAAACTCTACTAAGCCATACAGCACCTGAACCATGCGGAGATACCCTTCGACATCATTAATTTTTAATAAATTAATCTTTTCACGCTGGATCCTGTCTATCTTCTCACGATGAAATCTTTCCTTCCTCTTATGGAACTCCCTTGCATATTTATTAAATCCCTTCCAGCGCTCTCTCCTCACTTTAAATACATCTTCCAGTCTTTCTCTGTAATTAACATTGTCAAAGACATCACAAAAACTAATTAGCATTTTCCTGTAAAGAGCAGAAACAAGGTTTTTGGCAGAGGCATTTTCCTGTACAGTACAGACTCCTCTACCTGTGAACTTCTATCTCACTAAAGAAATCCTTCTGCCTCTCACGGGTTCTCTTTTGTCGCTCCTCCTTCATTTTCTGTTCATATCTCTCGAGTTGTTTTGACCTCCTTCCAATTCTGTGCTTCTTAATTGATTTAAGGCGGTCCATCTCACTGGCTATTGGCTTGAGAAAGTCATTTAATATATCACTGCAGAAAGATAATGAATGAAAATCTAAGAACCAGAGAGATGATGTCATGCGGAAGCAAACGTAGAAGACAAAAATGCAGATATTGGAGACAGGTGATGAGTGTATTTCACATGTACTTTAGACATTATCTAAACTTGATATTTAACTAATTTCTACAAGTTTTAGAGTGTTTGATGTGTATTTTGATATTGTGATATATGTTGATTAGGTTGAAAGAAATAAGTAAAAGTTCGCAAAATTGGATAAGATGGCTAAATTGTAAGAGATCCAAAGCTCGAGAACTAAAGTGAAAATATTCAAAAGTTGTGTTGGACCTCACAATGAAGACTCAAGAGTGCTAGAAGTCAATTGGATGAAGAAAGAAGTCGAAGGAATGAAATATAGGCAAAGTATGATCACACATCAATTTCGAATCGAAAAAGTTGTGCTTTTGATTTTCAGTCTCATATTGAGAGTCACTTTTGACATAGCCAACGTTCGAATTGGAAAATGATATCTAAAGCAAAGTTGTAACCATTTGAGTTATATTTCAAAAGCATATTGAATTGCCTCAATCAGACATCGAGAGAAAAGTTATGGTAAAAATTTTGAAGGACACGCAGTGCTAAGTTCCCATCCGAAATTGGGCGCCACAGTGCCACCGTTGCTAAAATTCATTGGCAACTGCGGCACCACAACTGTGGCGCCGAGGCGCCGCTGGGGGAGAAAAAAGAGTTTTGTTTTTTTTTTTTTTTTACTCTTTTCTTAGCTCAACACGACTTCAACCCTTCCAAGACTTTAAAATACTATAAATGCAACCTTTAAGACCTAATTCTATGGAGAAACTGTTCAAGAGGCAGGCGAATTCAACAAAATTCTTCAAGAAGGTAAGGAGGAAAAACATCAAGAAATTCAAAAACGAGATAAAGAAGAACAAGAGAAGAAATTGAAGATCTACATCCTAATTTTTCTATTCTCTTCCCTATGTCTTTTTATATGAATTTTAGTATTTCAATAGATTACATCATGAGCTAAGTTTATTATCTAGGGTTTGATTTTAGCCAAAAACTTGAGAATATGGATTGGTTAATTTTAGTTATTTCTATTAGATTTTCCGCATGTGTTTATTTGTGTTGTGATTTTAATGCTTTCAATTGGTCACTAATTGAATGATTTGATGCAAGTCAATTCCATCAATCGAGAGAGGGAGTTTAGGCGTGATAATAAGAATAACACAACCTAGGAAATTATAGGTTTCGAGAGGGAGTATAATTCATTTGAAGCATATTCCATTTAAAAACCACGAACTTGATAAATTCTATATTTTAATTCGGAATATAGATTGAAATTGAAATATAGTAGTAGTTTTTACTCGGCACTCAAGAGAGTAAAATTATGTTGGCATTCTTGCTCATAAACTTTAAAAAATTGATTAGAAATAATTATATAATTGAGAATCATATTTGATAGTCAGGCTTTCTCACTTGATTATTCTTCTAACTTGCATTTATTTATTGAATTCGTCACCATATTAGTTTAAAAACATTGATTATAAAACCCATTCATCCAGATAAAATAGAGGCTATCTAATTATCGTACTTAGTAGAAATTTGAATTACAATCCCTGTGGGTTCAACACTCTAACTCCATTATTATATTACAAAACTTGACACCATACACTTGTGGTATAAATCATGTAATAGAAAACGTGTGACAACAAGTACAACTAAATTGACAGCAATGCTAGAAAAAAAGTGCAAGGTGGGAGAGGGGAATAGAGAGAACGAGAGAGCATTGTCAGAATGTCAAACGGAAGCATATTGCAGAAGATAAATTACCTTCGTAGACTACGCTGCAACTCCAACAACTGAAGCTTTTTCAATTCAATTACGCTTTTGGTCTTTGCAGAAATATCTTCAGAACAGCTCACATTGTCCTGCAAGACAAAAAAGAAAGCACAACAATCAGTAGCCAGGAGAAAAACTAGACACAACCCTGTGTCCTGACACTGGTTATCTTGGTTACTGTACATAAGGAAGAAATACTTAAGAGATACATTAGAGGAGCGAACATTTTAAACAAGTTAAAGATTTTCAAGGATCAAGAAACGAATTACAGAGGCTTACTCAAGGCTCTGTTTGGGAACTTAAAAAACTAGATCAAAGTTGAACTAATCCAATTCCACCAAATCTTTGGAGGAAAAGTGCTCGTAAATTTGTAAAGTGTATACTAATACTCGAGTCCTTTCATAAAATAAGTCAAATTTGACAATTTTTATATCAAAAAAATGATCAAATACATCAAAGAAGTAATGTGTGACTAAAAAGGTGAAATGCTCCAGTTTGACTCTTCAAGCTAATAGAAAATTATGCAAGTTAATAAGGAAGTTAAAGAACTTAAGCCATTTGTAAAATTTTGCTCAAATAGGTCAGTTTTACACTTTACATGCTGGTCAAAAGAATACTCATGGGAATACCATACACAAAGCTGACCACTTCTACACAGATTAAATACTATTAAAGTAACTTTTTCTTCATATTCATGACAATACAAATTTTAATTTATAGTAGTCTGAGATGTTGATCTAGAGTGCAATTAGGATCAACAAGCATTCAACTTTTTTAAGTCTCTGTACTTTCTATCAAATTCATGTAACCAGTTATGCCAGCAAAAACAATGGCAACACGTGTATGATAAAAACATTCAAACACCAAATCCAGAAACACTTTGGTACTAATGCATAGAAGGCAATAATGAAGCCAAAACAAAAAGAGATGGACACTATCACAAACAAATACAGGCAACAGGCAGTTGGGTTAAAATAATGGGTAAACATTAAAAAAAGATGTTTCCTTTACTTAGCAAGACAAAAGACAACATACCATAAGACATAAATTTGCAAAAGCCATAACTTCAAGAAGGAAAAATGAACAAGGAAAGCATATAGATGCATGCAAACTTAAGCACAGGAGGCTTATCCACAATTAAGCATAATCAGGCAAATTTAAGCAAATAACTAAAAATTAACAGGACCCAGCTCTAGGAAATAAAAATGTTCAAACAACTTGGGTCAATAGTAAGATTATGCAACCACTCAAATTCATACACTTCCAAAACAATAGAGATTATAAAATAATCCCTGAACTAATTGCAAACCTTTAGCTTGTCAGAACGAGCAGCAATTCTTTGCTCTGTTTTCTGCTGTTTTAGTGCCCGGTTTTGCTCGAAAATAACTTTTCTCTTTTGACGATCCAAAATCCATTTTTCCAGTGTTGTATGCTTTGGAGAAGGTGGCCTACCAGTAGATATAGAAATATCATCCTCTTCTCGATCTGTCTGTAAAGCTGCAACAGAATTTCCATATTTTAGTGTCAGCATGTATCATTTTTTGCGTAATCTAAAATACATGTTCACAATAATGGATATTTTTGCATCGCAAAAACAACATATGTGTGAATACACATATGTGTGAATACACATATGTTGATTATACCAGACAAATGATACTCAGGGTAACTTTGGCCACTCATTCCCAAAACAGGCTTCCACTGGTCCTTCGATTGGAAACTAGGCAACTTCCCATCAGGGCGTCTATTTCCAAGAACACTGCAGTCAGTAGGACTTTGATTGAGACTTAAAGCATCATCTTTTCTTTGTGGAACTGATTCATGTGTAGCAAAGGTGGCGGCTAGTGATGCCTTGGAAGCATCAGTTTCACATCCAATTCCAGTCCCACTACTCTCTTCAAGCTTCAATTGCTCGGATGGGGGTATAACAACAGAAGCTACGATGCTTGATCCAATCTGCCGATGGCTGTTCTTCAAATCATACCCATGATTACTGATGGAAATATTCCTCATGTTCGATTCGTATTGTTCTCCAGGTGCAGATGTCTGTACTACTGTTTCCAAGGTAGGCATTTCAGCATCCAACTCCCTTCTTGTCACTAAATGATTCCTCCTATCTTGTGCATTTTCAGATAGAATCGAGGGTTGACCACGTTTGTCCTCCATCTTTGCAACCTCAGATCCTTTGGATGAACGGGAGTCCACAAAAGATGAATGACCTTTGGTGTTAACTAGTCTTTCAGATTGCCTAGAGGCCTCAGGGATGTTGCTAGAGTAGTTAGCTTGCTCCTCTTTTTGATCAATAAGGTCTCTGGGAGGTTCATCTGCAGAATACCCTGTTATATGCCAATTGAATGAACGAAGACTTGTGAAATAATCTGAGGGTTAAATACCTTCTTTTGAGTAAAAATTTCCAAGTGCAATCTCCAGATGAAGCTTCTTTGGTGACAAACCATTTCTGCGCATGGAAAAAAGGGTTCAATGAAAAGCAAGTACAAAATTTCTTATTCAGAAAAAATAAACCAACATAACCTAAAATAGGTGATCATTACCTGAAAGCCAAAAACACAAGACACTGAGCTCTCAGTTGTTTCAACTGCTGTTCTTTAAATGGCACGCCAGTTCTGGGAGCTTGAGCAGAAGGAGATTTCCCTGCCTCTCTAATACTCAGACTTCTGAGCATATTTGCGTCCGGAGGGGCACCACCCTGTCAACACAAGCTTAACATATTAAACTAAAGCTACAACCAGTTCAGCAAAGCGGTGATGAATAAGGAGTCAAATCCCATTATGCTTTCACATCCTTTTCTCAACTGAAATGTAATTTAAAAAGGCACTGAAATTTAAGAACTTTAAGCATGAGGAGTTCGTTGCACATGCATCAAAGACACCATTAAATTTAGTTAGCTTTCCCCTTGATTGCTGGTAGAGCCAGTTCATGGCTCATCAAAAGTTAATTTCCCAAGGAGGTGTGTGCAGAACAAAATTTTATGATAAGATTTACCAATAATGTCCAGAAGCATCATCGTAAGTACAAAAGATGTCCCAAGTACAATATATAGATGCCTTGAAAACCAAATTTCGATACCCTAAACACTATACACAGGATTCCACTTTCATAACTAACACAAGAATGACAAAACATTTAAAACAAGTACTCTTCAGAAATTCAATAAAGACCACATTTTTTACTTGATTTCCCCTGCACCGAAAGCCACACTGAAAGGGATTCCCCATTACTAATTTTAAGTCAATGCAGTTTACCACTTCACATTCATACAAAGCTAAGAAGAATGTCTTAATGGAAATGTCATAGCTGAATCCTTACCATAGCATGGACCGAGCTTGTGCATGTAGAGGAGAAAAGAATTTTAATAACTGTTTTTTGGTTGCCAAGTGACAGTTGCTGTGTATTCTTAATTACTTGTCACAAGCCTTCGGCTTTTCCTAATTTTCAGCCCGTCTTTCTTTGGCAGGACTAGTTTTCTTCATAATCTAATAACTATTTATTAGGAATTTACAATTATGAGGAAACTTTGGAGCACAGGTTGCTTGCTTAAGTAGCCTATTATCTTCTCATAAATCTATTAAATGTAGCTCAAGAGATAAGATATGAATGAAGTAATTATAGTTGATTCAAATAAGATGTGACAAACAGTCAACTCCTGGAGAAAATTACATTAAATCTCACTTCGGTAAGGTTAAATATCTGAGTTATCTTAATATTACCTTTCTCTTCCTTCATTCAGGTACATTCTTCTAAATTAATGTACATATATAAGGCAACCATCTTACAGTTATTTTCTTATCAAACTCTATCATGGCAGTACGTAGCTCAGTAGCTTAAACACCATGTTTACATAATGGGAGATCTTGCATGTCCAGACAGGGAAAATGTAATTAACAGCTTAAATAAGTAGCACAACATGATGTTACCATGACAACTGAAAACCACTCAAGGATGAGGAACAGATAATGAAAATAAAACTTTGAAGGTTACCCATTGAAACAAGAACAATTGACCATACCTCTATCAGAAGAAGATTCCTCGTTTGGCTGGTCAAAGTCCATGTCATAATCTTTCAAAGCATGAATTTTAATGTTTTTATGAACTTTTTCCAAATGACAAAAATAGTTCAAATGAAGTACTAATAAGGAAGTTTCTTATTACTTTCATGTCTTCGTAAAATCTCATATACACTCCAAGAATTAATTGTTTGAAAACTATTTAGTTGACTAAATGACTTTCCTTTTGGGGGCTAAAGTATGAAACAGCTCTGATAGACTTCAAGATATGTCTACAATATTATTCAAGCCAACTAACAAAATTAAAAAAAAAAAGGATTTTGAAAACTGGATTGGTGAACGACATCAAACTAGTCATTAATGTTCCCAATATCAGCTATAACTCCTGAGATTAAAAAAGGAAAATATTTGGAAATTAGTACATTGGGAAAAGAAAACAAATAAATATCCTACATTTGTCTATTCTTTAGAATATATCATATTTTATATATCTATGCAGTAAGCAAAAAATCTACTTCTCTTTTTCAAATAATGATATGCCTTGTACTACCACAGACCCAATGAATTCCAACTTATGTGGGTAAAGAACAAATGTATAACCAAAACCTTTCTGGATTAGTGAGCTATATGGTGGTATGCATGGTATGAAAGAACCCTGCTGAGGCCCGCCTTGATGCCCGCCTCACTGTGAGGCGCAGCTTCTGTGCCTCAAGGCTCAATCTGTGAGGCACAAAAAATGAGGTGCACGCCTCTACATCTGAGGCAAAAAAAATGAGGCGTGCGCCTCATTTGAAGTATGTTTTTTTCAGATTTTTGAAAAGGAATTAAAAAAGACCATTTTTAAAAAACAGAAAGGCCATTTAAAAAGACATTTCGGGCCAAACAAAATATTAAAATATCTAGAATACCAAAAAGCAGCCAGAAATCCTTCTACACGACAGACATAAATCTTCCTAGATGGCCAGAACTACACTGCAGTCAGAAATCTTCCCAAAACTAAATGGCAACCAAAAAACTTATTTTCAATCATTCGCTTAAAAGAGGTCCTCAAATGCTGCTTCTATATCTCTTTTCTCCTTTACTTTTGCCTTCTTCTAGTGACTTATAATTTAAAATTGTTTCCCTAGACTTTGCTTAACTTTTTTCTTGTTCAATGCATCATCGCCAAATTGTACCTATTTTGTTCAGCAAATTGCACCTATTTTGTTTGTGGGGAGGTTTACGCCTCAAAGCGTTTTGAGGCTTACGCCTCGCCTCATAACAAAAAAAGGTCTCGGTACCCGTTTACGTTTTTTCAAACTATGGTGGTATGAATTCATTTATTTCTTAATTTTTATTTCTAGGGTTGTAAAATAGCTGCACGGCTTCATATTCATTGTTAGATGATGGTTCATCGTTCTAATTGATTTAATGCTGCTTTGGGTTGTTAAGAATCCCAGTTTACTAAAGCTGCAATTTGAACACTTAATTCTACAACAATTACAGATTTTCGTTTTTGGTATTGTATAGAGTAAGATCAAACTCTACCATTTCACTGTGATGACTTCAGTTGCAAAACTTTGATATCGCTTACATGTGCAAATGGACATGACACATTGCTTGAAGCACCCATGCACCTTGGGCTCGCACTGTGGCTGCAACTTTGAAGACAATACTTTCCTTTTATGTTTCCATATTGATTACACAGTTGACCACACACATTCAACGGTAGGAAGTAATGCCTTCTGTTTACAATTTAGAACATACATTGAAGAGATACTCATCGAGTGGACCATAGCAAGGTGATGAGTTCAGTTGCAAAACTTTGATATCGCTTGCATGTGCAAATGGACGACACGTTGCTGGAAGCAACCATGTACCTTGGGCTCGCACTATGGCTGCAACTTTGAAGACAATACTTTCCTTCTATATTTTCCATCTATGGTATGTATGGAACATAAAAGACTGATCATATTCTATACGATGAGAAACAATTAGCCCTTGTTTGGACACCATTATAATGAGATTTTTGGAAATAATGTATTTTGAAAAAGTAATTTTTGGGAGAATATGCGGTTAAAAAAGAAGGAAAAGTTTTTAATTTACATGTAATATTATTTTATTGGAGAATGCGTGGCTAAAAAAGAGAGAAAAAATGTATTAAAATTTTAATGGGGGTCAAACAGAAGCTTAGTATATTTCAACAAATAAGGACATTATCGTGACTGTTAGAGAATAATACCTTCCATCCCAATATTATTATTTCATAGTTATTCTAAAATTTTACAATTTCAATGATAAACTAACTGATACAATACATCCTCCAACTTCCAAAATCTAAGAGTTAAAGTTAATCAATGCACCATCAACATTATGATTAAAACAGATTGGACACGGGGAACAAAAGATAGAATAAGTGGCTGACTTCCAATTTAAAAATTGGATGACCAAATTAAAATAGGCTCCATCAATCATTTAATCTCTCTCTATCCAGGAACTTCTAGATGGTAAAGCAGATGAAATCACAAAGATAAATGGAAGAAATGTGACTCAAAATGGTTCACTAAAATAATCACAGAAGATAGTAGAAAAATGAAGGTGAAGTGCACAGAGTGTTGTGGTAAGAAAGCACCTGAATTATCTTATTTGAATTAACCAGTGTACTAGTTCCCCCGTGATCCGATGGCTTTCCAGCTACACTTTTACCAGCTGAAAGATCAGATGAAGGCATGGCTGGAAACACTTCCATGCTTCTATCCTTGCTAACCTTTGCACCAAAATCATGATTATCATATGAGGAGCTACTAAAATTCATTGGACCCGACGATTCTGATGGTGGATAAGAACCGGGAGCTGCACCTGAAATACCAATACCACCTTCTCAGACAAAAATACATGATAAAGCAAGAGATCCTCTAGGCTAGAAACTCCTATCATATCCATAAAGAAGCATGCTGAACCATCCAACTATCCAAGACCCCCCCACCCCAGATCCCCAAAAAAAGATAGGAGACCTAATAGCTCAATGTAATTTCTTGTACACTTTTTTTTTTTCTTTGAAACAATAAGAAATAAGATACAGCTCTTTCAAATTTTCCATTGAGCCAGCAATAATTTTGTTTATCATTAATAGTGAACAATTATTTTTCTTCTCAATTCACAAGAGCTATGGCATCAATACTTGTGTTGTTGAATTTTATCATAGGAATAAACCATGGTGTTTAACACTAGACACTTGAACAATAATCCCGCACCTCTCTAAGAACAATTCATTGTTAAAAGAGAGGCTCCAAGCGGCACGTCGGTAACATAACAAGGGTATATATAAAGCCAGAACCAACAGGGCCAAAACAAGATACTTCTAGATTTCCTCAAGCAATGGCCCAGACTTCTAACTTCATTTGGTTGAAATGGAAATTGCTTGTTCAACTCTCTTTCACTTCACTTTCCTTTTGTTGTATATTTTTATCCTCTGAACTAAGTCCATAGCTTCAAATAAAATACTGCTTTTGTTGTTCAGGTGTGTGAGCAGACTCTCCCTCAAATCTTTCCTCTTTTGTGTGTGAGTGGTCAGAGAGAGGTATTTTACCAGATAATTGCAAAGATGTAGAGTCTCCAACTTGTGTTCCACCAGCCAGAGGAAGGCGTGATGACATTAAAGCTTCAATATCAAGATTGTGCTGTTTAATAACAGTCTCCATGGCCCTTATATGATAAAAACATAAAACAATATATATATATTAAACTATAAACAGAGAGTAAAGAAAGATTACATGAAACAGTGTGTCAAAAAACAATTGAAAGAAATGGGATAAGAAACAAATCAAACAATAAGCTGATCAGCTATTTTTTAGATCGAATATAATAGTTCAAAGACTGTGTGGGTGAACCTTATTCTATCTAAAAATGTTAATTGTGCGAGTAGAGAACACAATAAAATTTTTATAGTACGGTCGTAATATTTATCATCATTTTTTAAAAATTTAATCCAGTAGGCAAAATTTAATGCACCCATATGCAGCTTGCAAGCATGGTAGTTCAGAAATCATCAGAGCTGGAGATGTTTTACCTTGATATTACTTGATATGGCATTGAATTTTCTTTCCCACTAGATCGCATATGCTGCAAAATCTGTTTACTCCCATGTAATAAATGTAAAACGGCATATAAGCATCGCAGGCCAAAAACTACACAGAAAAGTAACTACGAATATCATAAAAGAAAATCGCACGCACCACATAAAGCTTTGTAGCTAATTTGGTAGGCTCGTCTTTAGACTCTTGTATAAGTTTATGCAGAAACTTGGCTGCCTCCAGCTCAACATTTTGCGAATTGGTCATCTCTATTGGGCGACCAAATACAGATGCAGATAGAGATAGCAGCAGAAGCAGGGAAAACAACAACAATTATCAGCCCTTGGATTCCTCTCGGATCGGAGCATCACTATAGAACCCAGTCCTGTGGAATACTGTAAACTAGAATTTTATATAACAACAAAGAAAATCAAATTTTATGTTTGGTTGCCATTCAAATTGAGAGGAAACGCAAGAACACGAGTGATCTGATATGAATAATTTTCCACTTGTAACTAAAGTCTGCTTGTTCTCTAGTAATGTACCTCTCTCTCTCTCTCTCTCTCTCTCTCTCTCTCTCTCTCTCTTAATGAATTTCTTTTCTATAGTGAGAAAAAATAAAGGAAAACACCTTCACATTCACCCTAGCATTGGCCTCCAGCTTTTCTAATGGAAGCTAACTTGTAATTTTGCCATTGAGTTAGTAGGGCGGCAAAAATGGATAGAAATCATTATCCTATTCCTTATATCATTCAGCAATTAGTAACCTAAAAAAATTTCAAACTAACTTGACACATATCATAAATTTTCAAGAGCCATGCAACACTACATATATGACTTTTAGCCCCTTCACAATAATTTTACATTACTTAGGCAAAGTCCAAAGCAACCGCAGTCAACATTTACCTCCTACCACAGACATAATTAAATTTCCTTCTATAATTGCCCACTTGTATGAATGATCACGCTAAAACTCATAACACCGCCACTATTTTGCTTTCTTCAGTCTCTAAATCTATTTATCACTCAGTCACAAGCAGGGCGGAGCCATCTGGGGGACAACCACATAAAAAATTCAAGAGATCGCTGTTGAGTAAGGAAGATTACCATAAAAAAATAAAATCTAAGGTGCTAGAAGATGAAAATGGCGATAAGACTGGACGGCATTTTAGATCGAGGTTGTGCAACAATTCTAGTGCGAAATCAACTTATAAAGCCCGATTCTACACAAAAATCTGATACTACCTTCCAAGTTTGGTGATGGTGAAGAAGAAGCTGACTGATCCTCGTAAAAATCACTGCAACGCGAGATAAATTGGTGCGCAAAGGGAAACCCTTAGCCCCTTACCCCCTCCTTTTTCTCTCTATCAATAGACTTAAAATCAGGCCAGTGCTGTAGATGGGAGAGAAATTGGGGCAAGTGGTTCCTCACCTATAGGCCCATGTGCAAATAGTCTGTAACTTTGAAATCTTGACGCAAAGCTTCCTAACCAACCACTTTTTTACACAAATGGTCCTTCTCCAAAAATGCCATTATTAAGCTCCCGTTTATTTCTCTTTAAGCCCCCATTTCTCTACATTATAATCTCATTAAAATAAAAAATATGACCATTATCCAATACATCAATATTTAAATTCAAATTTTCTATCTCTTGTGTGAGCCTCAATAACGGCTATATTTTTCATTCTCATTTTATAATAATTTGGCTCAAATGTGGCCTAAAATAACTCTTTAATTTTCACTCATTTTTCAACCACACATTTACACAATAAAAAATTTTACAAGTAAATTTAGAACTTTATTTTCACTTTTTAACAACACATTCTTCAAAAAATTACTATTCAAAGTATCATTTTTCCACAATAATGACAATCGAACAAGGACAAAATATTTTTCGCGTAAATTCAAAAACTTTCTTCTTTTTAACCACACATTCTCCAAAAAATAACTATTCCAAAATTTATTTTGCCCCAAAAAAAAACTCATTTCAAATAATAATTACCAATTTTCAATGAAAATAATAAATTAAGTTTGTTTAGCAAATCTATAAATAGGAAAAATTAAAAGGAATAGTAGTGAGTCCAAATAATAATGAGTAGTGATTATGGATGTGTAGATGAAATCAATGTCTAATATTGATCGAATGTATAAACCATTTATAAATTTGTATTCAAATGGAGGCTAAATCTCACGATATAGAAACATGCAAAGGAAATTCTTTACCTAATTTATTACTAGCTATCCCGCTAAAATAGAAGGAAAAAAACAGAACACTTTTTCGCTTAGGGTATGTTTGATAGCATCCCTTTTCTAAGGAAGTTGGAAAACAATTTCCATTTTCAATAAAAATAGTTGTTTGATAGTTTTTTTGCCATGGAAAAGAAATTCCACCCACACGTGCACCAATTCTTGGAAAAATGGGTTCTAGGTTATTTTATTTTATTTTATTTGGCAATTAGAACAAATTTAATAACCAATTGTAAAAAAAAATTCACTTTAATAAACAATTTCAATGTAAAACAAAGTCAAACGAACACTAAATTATGATGAAAAAAACTGTTTTTTTCATTTTTTTTTTTCTTTTTGGCAATGAAAACAAATTTTATAATCAATTTTAGAAAAAATTATCACTTTAATGGATAATTTTCATTTAAAATGAAATCAAACGAACACAAAATTTTAAAATTTTTCGGGTGGAAAATTATATCAATCAAACACACTTTATTAACAATTCTCAACAAAACAATTTTTAGACAATTACTTTATCTGAAATTCATTTTCTTTCCACCAATTTTTCACCATTACAATCAAACGGACTCTAGAGGTACATATGTTTTTATGTATTTGCACGTGTCATCTCATATAACACACACTTGTACATCTGCGCGTTGGAGTTAAATTCGAGCGACCATCTTTGATAATTTCATCCATCGTTGTTTGAAATCCTATTATTGTTTGATCCTTTTACGATTTACCGAATAAAGTAACAAATGAGAAACTACAAAAGAATTGATCAAGTTTTAGACAAAAAAATAGTTTAAATGAATAACTATTGCAAATTAGGATTTTTAGAGGACAAAAAAGTAGTTCAACTAGTTCTACGTTAATAAGTATGTTGTTTTTGGGTAATTTTCTCTAGATTCTCACTTCACCGACTGTAATGAAAGGAGCCTTAGAGCTTGTTTGGTGGAGATTTTTGGGGGAAGAATTGATTTTTGAATAGTGATATGATGGGAAATGTGTGGTTCAAAAAGAAGAAAAAAATTATTGATGTGATAGAAAATATTATTTTATTGAAGAATGTGTGGTTGAAAATGAGAATTGATTTGAGAATCAATTCTCAAATCACTACCAAACACCCCCTTAATGTTGTTTGTCGTATGTAATTTATCTTCTTTTCATGGAACAATTTGAATAAATGTAGTCGTTGTTTACGCAATTTGAAGAGGATTTAATAGATACAAGTGCATGCATGCGACCTCTTATCTAGCTTGGATGGCTTTGTCATGCAAAAATTCACACAAGACATCGTCCAACTCATGGGCGGACCCTGTGCACGCCTAGTGCAAGCAAATGCCTGCACTGAACTTTAGGACACCCACAGCCCAAGAAAAAAATTGAAATGGGCCCGATACAATCGTATAACAAATCTTTCATTCCCAATTCCTCGACTTCAAAGATGAAAAGAATCCAAAGAGATACAAGATGAAACCCCCAAACCATTAGCAATCTCAACACCTGTTCGGTAATTCCCTTCACTACCTATTCAAGGACAAGATTTTTCTCGATTCAATCTCCGTGAACTGTGTGAACAGCATTTGAACAACTCGGTGGAGAAAACAACGAAGAAAAGTTCTTTTCGTTGAACGATTTTATACCTTGAGAACTCCAAAATAATCAAAGGACAAAGTGTATGTTGATTTTATGGAATATTTTGAGGAAGAGCCAAAGGTATGTTTTGAATTGTGGATATAGATTCCATTTTTCTCGAAGATTTTGGGTTTCATTTAATGGGTTTTTGCATATTTGCCCTCATTAATGCCTAATTGTATATTTGAACTGAGAAACTAATGAAATGACCCCAATAGGAGTCGTGACTGTTATCAATGACTAAAATTATCAATATGAAATTATTTATTTCTGATGAGATTAATTCAGCGAGCCACTTGATTTTAGTTGTCGGAATATTTTGGTCTTTTTACTTTATTATTTGCAACTATGGTATGCCTCAGTATTGTATTAAACGTGCTACTGAAATGAAACAATTTGAATCCTTCTGTCGATTTGGTTTGTGCCTCTATTCTCCCAATTTCAAAACTTGGGTTCTATAGGCCATTCATGCTTCAGTATTGCATTTTCAGAATTTGAATTTTGGAAATCTGAATTTTCAAAATTTTAATTATGCATTTCTTCATCTTAATAATGTTGTTATTTTTTTGTACATTCGCTAACATCGCCCGCACTGAAAATCTTCCTAGTTCCGCCCCTAGTCCAACTCTCTTTCCTTAAAAAAGGACTTATTTCTTGTATGGAGCATTTAAATCAAAACCTAAGAAATGAATTCAAAAAAATGTGTGGATACAAAGTGGGTAATAAAGTCATGGATTTAAAAATTTAAAGATAAAAAGTGAATTTGACGAGTTTAAATTATAATTTAAGATTTGCCAAACATACATTTAAGGAATGGAACAAGAACTCTTCTGGGAATATTTTTTTTATTTAAAAAAAAGGCTGAACACAATGTTCTCTATCAAAAATATCATTTTGATACGACATGTCGCAAATTGATAGGGACATTTACTTGAAGAATACATAAATTGAATTAATGGCATGTTTGATACCATGCCTTTTCCATGGAAAATGGAAAATATTTTCCATGTAAAATCATGTTTGATTGTCAACATTCAACCTGAAATTCTTTTTTCTGCGCCGCAATGTGACGCGCCTATTTTCCCTGCAATTGGTAAACTGGTTTTCCTTATGTTTTGGTGGGAATTTAATTTCCAGGCTCTTTTTTTTTTTTTTTGGCAATGGTAAAAAATTCTAAATATAATGGTAAAAAAATTTATCACTTTTATTGACAATTGTCATGCAAAACAAAGCTAAACGAATGATATTCGGTATGGTAATTTTTGTAAAAACAAAAAAAAAGTTTATTTATTTTATTTTTTGGCAAGTAGAACAAATTCTAAACTCAATGGTAGGAAAAAAACTCTTTAATGGACAATTTTCAAGAAAAACGAAATCAAACGGACACCAAACTTTTAACATTTTCCAGGTGGAAAATTATACCAATCAAACACAATTAATTACAATTCTCAGTAAAACAATTTCTAGGCAAATCAATTCCCTATAAAACATTTTCTTTCCACCCATTTTTTACCTTTGCAATCAAACGAACCCTTAGACTTTTGTTGCGCTGACAATTTTGTTGACAATTTATGATGTGATGAGCAATTTGTCCATTGATTTGAATAATGACCAGATTTTTTACATATGATGGAATGTCAACAAAATGTGTCCAAAATGAATGTTAAAATTGGATTTCCCACTGAACTATGCCTTTGCAACCGATGAGAAATACATTAAATAAAAATCTAAAGCCCATACCTGATTTGGATAAAAATCATTTTTTTTGTAAATGTTAGTAACATTTCTGAACTGAACTATGAGACACTATGCTCTGGTGTAGTTTGGATGACTCCACGAGTGCATAAAAGGCTAAAAGCATTCTCTTCCTTCTTGGTGCATGTTGTTGCGTATATTTTTTGTTTAATTAATTTATGCTATTTAGATTTTAAGTTTTATGATTTAGACAAATAACTTCCGCCATTCAAGTTTTTGTAGGATTCATTGGATTTTATTTCCCTACAGCGAGGGAGATGAAACTAATGCAATGAGTTTAACTTAGTGCTAATTTATCGGACATGTTATCTAGCTCGAAAAGGAGATGAAATTAAATGCAACGAGTTTAATTTATGTTAATATCTCGAATTTGTTTTGGTATGGTAAAAGGGGATGAAATTAAATGTAACACGTTTAACTCAATTTGAGTGTAACGTGCTATTAACATGGGAAATGATATATACAGATCCGATCTCCTACTTATAGTGAATATGATAAAAACTTTTCACTGTTAATGTGGTAAGAGATTCTTACTTATATTTCTCTTCAACAGTTATACATTCAGAGAATCATACTTGTTACTCATATAAATAATCGTAAAATAAACATGCCATATGGCAAATGGGCGACCCGATTCTATGCATACCGAAGCGAACCCAACCCGAAAGCTGTTCATCTGATCCCCTGTTGGCAAAGGTCTCCAGCATAAACTCATCTTTGGCAAGGCGGTAAGTCAACCAACAACATAATGAAGTGATTGACAAGACATCACACTGCCAGTGCCGTCTCTACACACCTACACTGTCAAATCCTAAGTCAAAAGTGAAGATAGGGGGATCTTAGTATTAATGGCTTGACTGATTGATTGACACTAATAAGAACCATTAGATCTTCTACCATCAGACGGATCTCGTTCACTCGACATTAGATATAAAAACCCACACTCCGTACTTTAAGGGAATAGGCAAGCTTACGCATTTAAAGTAAACCTTGATTCTCTCTACTATACCAGAAGGCCGACCCCTTTTTTATGTACCAAACGACAAAAAACAACCACTTATTAAGTGTTTTGGATAATTCCCTTCATTGATTCACATGGAAAACGGGTGATTTGAGTCATAAACGTATTGGGATTTAAGCTTACGTGGATATTTGTTTCTACTTTTTTGTTGGCCACGTCGTCGACCATTTTTTTGGATCAACAGATTGGCGTCGTCTGTTGGGATTTTTGATCCCATAACCACGTACATCCTAGTGGTAAAAGCTGTGGGTGAAAAGTCTTGAAGAAAGGCTTTGATCCTTGAACAAAGAACCATCTTGAGAAAGCGATCCAAGAAACTCGATGAGTTCGAGTCACTAGGGAACGCATGGTGGGAATATTCAGCAGGAGGCCTCTGAAAAAGAGGTTCTCCGCACGAATGTAAATATGCGTCGCCCCCACCATCGCCAAAGAAGGAGTTGGTACAGCTGTACGTCGGCACAGGAAGTTGGAGAAATGGCTGCCAACATGAGAAATATAACCCAATAAAATGCTGCCATGCAGCATCTGCTAATGCAGATGCAGCAACAAACTGGGCCTCCAATACTTATAATTTTCCTTACCACGTTAGCAGTGAAAAGTTTGTATCTTACTTATGGTTCTCCTCGCCACGTTAGAGTAAGAAATTTTATCCATATGTATATACATATATTAACTTTACTTTTTAAAGATTTAAGTTAGCTCTCGTTTGACAACCATTTTTTAATAACTATTTTTCCTACACACTCATTTTTAACCATATATTTACGCAATAAAATATTTTGCACGTATATTCAATATATTTTCCTACATTTTGACCACACATTATCCTAAAATTACTATTCAAACCATTATTTTTCCCAAATAATGATTGTCAAACTGGGGCTTAATATAGTATCCAAGTATGTAAATGTTTATAGTTCAAGTTTTTAGCTCAATTCCAAGGAAAAATCATGAGTTTGAGATTTATTTCTTGTTTGGCTATAGTTCATTTATTATCTTCGTAAGATCTATAAGTACGATTCACTTTTTTATCAGTTATTTTTATTTATTTATAAATTAAACCGTTTATAAATAACTCAGAAACATTGTGAAAATGAATTTGAATAAAAGATACACAAAATTGAGTTTCATATCAAAAATTTTCCAATCAAGACTATTTTGTTAGGTGAATTGTGCAAATTTAACCCATTTTTATGGGGAAATCAAATTTTTAATAAATTTTGATAAAAATTAATGAAACATGTGGTTGAAAACTTGTGAATTTTATAAAATATATACTTAAAATTGATAGTTGACTTTGACTTATATTAAAATTTAGATTAAAATCACTATAAAAAAGGGGCCTAGAAAGATTTCAACCAATTTCTCCAAAATATACATTTAAATAAATAAATAAATTACAACATTGTTACAACATCACATATAACGCACGTGTTTCTACCGGCCTTAAAAAGTGTGGGTACTGATTAACTTTTAGTGGGATGGATTAACAGCAACGCCTTTCATTATCTAATAAAATATTCCGTTATTACTTAACCAATACGCTTGGCTTTATTTTGTCAAAAACTCATTTTTTTTAAAAGTTAATTTTCAACTACACATTCTCATATAAAATAATTTTAAATGAAAATTATTATTTTTTCTTATTTTTTAACCACACATTCTTTAAAAAATCATTTATTCTAAAGTATATTTTGATGCAAAAATGGGAATAAAAAAAAGACTTAATAAATTTATTTATATAATTTCCAACCTTTAAAAAATAAAATGCTATAATTGGTGAAATGGAACATTTGCATGATGCATACCTAAATAAAATGATGAGATAATTAGAACGTAAGGTTTATATCTTTCAATATTATTCTTAAAAAGTCTATACTTTATATTTTTTTTGGCGTTGTGACCCTTAGTTACACATTAATTGTCAAAAATGTCATTTTGTTCATTTACTGTGAATATCTCCGTTAATTGAACACAAAATGCCAATTTTTTGAATCCCAATGTATATAAGAGCATTTTCAAGAGGTTCTTAAAAAGTGAAATACTTTGTCCACTCTTATTATGCCCCCTCTTGATCTACATTATTATTTTATTAAAATAAGAAATATAACCGTTATCCATCACATCAACATTTAAATTTAAATTTTCTATATTTCATGTGAGCCCCAATAACGGCTATATTTTTCATTTTTATTCTACAATAATTTGATTCAAACGGGGCTTATGTTTCAATAGATTATTCAAATTAATATTTTAAAATATAGAGAATTAAATGTATTAAAAATATTCAAAATTTCAATGCTCCATATATTGACCCAACTAAATAGTATATATGAACTCGTTTGGTAAAGATTAAAATCCAATTAAAATTGAAAGTATAATCATTATTAGGTTCCACTAGTATAATAAAAGTCAATTATAACGGCTAGTTTTTCAATTTTATTCTGATTTTAATCTCTACCGAACATCCCTATATAAAGAACATGGAGATAAATAATATAATAATTTGGAGTGAAATTGGATAAAATAAAAGATGGAAAAAAAAATAATAAAAACATATTGAATGTAGTAAAATTAAATGTTAAAGATAAAAATATTGCTAAAACATTTAAAAATTTTTTGCTCTCTAAATTGTGTAATATATTTTTTTAAAAAAATAAAGAGTCGTTCAAAAATTCTCACGCGACGAAACCATCCATTTAAAAATTCCAATCCCACTTTTTGATTACGCTTCTGTACAATTTTGAATGTTGACCCTAGCGTTTAATTGGCCCAAATTTTTAATGGCCTAAGCAAGTTGGAAGGGCATTATAGACATTTCAATTCACTGAATTTCTGGTTCCATCACCATTACGCGTTACGAAACGCCCCATTATTGGACCCCAATAAAATCACAAATTATCATATAACCCACAAATTCCTCCTTTTCATTTCATTGACTCCTCTCTCTCACCTTCATCTCTGTCGAAGAAAAGGCAAGGCGAGTATGGCGCAAAAGAGGGAGAAAGAAGAAACGGAACTCAAAGTTCCCGAAAACTTACCACTATGCACCCCGCCGCCGATTTTAGGTACCGACAACGACAAGCAAACGGCGTCGTTTACCAATTCCTCGAGGTCGCCGGAGAGTTCAGATCCGAAACTTTCCTGCGACGATGATTCGAGAACCAGCTTAGCAACATCGCTGGAGAGAACCGATCTGGAATCTGTTGCACGAAAAGTAGTTAAAGAAGTGGAGAATCGCGTAGGATTAAAGAGATCAAGAGAAGTAACGCGGTGTTCCGGGACCGGATGCAGGAAGAAAATCGGATTAATCGGATTTCGATGCCGATGTGGAGAAGTTTTCTGTTCGGAGCACAGGTATTCCGATCGTCACGATTGTAGCTACGATTACAAATCTGCTGGCCGGGAAGCCATAGCTAGGGAAAATCCGGTGGTTAGAGCCGCGAAAATCCTCAAGGTTTGAAGAAAAAAAGTGCTTAAAAGTTACTTTTCGACAAGCAACTTAATCCAGACATGCTGATCCTTCTTGGATTCCATAATACACGCCTCTGTATTGAGAGATGTTGAGGGAGGGGTGACATGGAATTGTTGGAAATTTGTGAGGGTATTGTTGTCATTTGAGTTATCGTGATGATTGTAGTGCAAGTTGTTATTATTAATTTTTTAAATATTTTAAGGTGATGGTGGGTTGAATAATTTATTTGTTGGTGGTACGGGGATACCATCATCATGTGGTTTGTTGTTTGTTGGGAACTTTAGTGGATGCAATTTGGCGTCGGCCACAGGTTGGATTATTGGGAGTTGCTTCCCTACATGACGGCTCCTTTTCCTACGAATTAAATAATAATAATAATAATTAATAATCTATTTTAAATTTAATAATTGCTTTAAAAAAGTTGAGATTAAAGTAACAACTAATTTTAACTATTCATAATTTTTAACAACAATTGCTAAAATTTTTATTAAAAACTGTCTAAAAATAATTTATTTTGTCCGTATTTCAGGATTGTGGCCATTTTTTGGGGGAAAAAAAAATTTATTTCAAATAGTGAATTTTTAGAGAATGTAGGATTACAAAGTAACAAAAAGTTTTAAGTTTACGGGTAAAATATTTTATTGTGATTAAAAATAAATAGGTAGAAAATTGAGTTTTGAAAGAAAGAGAGAAACATAAACTCGTAGATACACTTTGACCGCTTCAATCTAAACCTAAAATTTGAGGGTAAACTCGTGCTTTGGGGCCTTCAACTTAAATTGATAATTAATTTTTGAATAAGAGCAATAAGAGGATATGACGAAAGGCATCTGAATTTTTGTTAAATATTATCACTTGACCTTAGTTGTAAAAGCATCTGACCTAAAATTTCCATGGTGGAAAGCGAATCTCAATCTCATGAAGTTACAACTGTGTTGAGTTTCAAAAAAAATACTGAAATAAATTGGACTTTTGCTTTTGCGAACTTAGCTCGGGAGTTGGTAACTGTGGTTTCTTGATATGGGAGGACTCGGTAAACATACACAAAATCGACTAAAACGGGAACACTTCCTCTTGCATATGACCCATTCTTGCTCCAGAATGGGTTACTGGAATCACAAAATATGGAAATTTTGTAACCTGTTGTAAGCTGCTATCACATCCACAGATGCTTTTGAGCATCAAGACTTTTCCCCTTCAAAAAATGTATAATCCTAACAAAGAAAGGCCTATTACTCTTCTAAAATGATATTAGTTGCTACATTCCACTCCAAAAAAATTTATCTATGAGATGTCCTATAACAAAAAGTTGTCTTTCTTGGGTAATAAACAAGCTCTTACTCACATCCAAATCCAGACTTTCACACTGAAATAAGGAATTTATGAGAGGGGACATGCTCACACATTAATATGTAGCAAGGAAACCACAATAAATCGTTACAATCAATCAAATATAGAAAGAAAAACAACTCCAATGGATCAATAAATGAAGCAAGTCTCATGTAATATCATCTGTGGCAGTAGATTCAAGTTATTTTCCATATTGTTCCTCATATTTCCCATAACAATTGAATTCACATTATTTTTTCCGACATAGATTTTGAACGGAGTTTAATAGTCTATAAACTTTGATTTGTTATAGAAACAAGATAACTAATGCAATCAATCTCCAAATGAAGTCATTTTAACTGATGATGAGTTGAACATATACAGATTTTTTTTTTTATAATTTATTAAACATATTTTCATGTTATATGCAGTGTGAATCCCATTTCCCAATTTAAATTCTGTTATACCCTCATTGTTAAATATTTCCTTAGCCTTCTCATAGTGTAGGGGTAAAGATTCTTCGTTGTTCTAGGTATGTTTCACACTAGAAAACACATTCAAAAATGCCTTTCGTCATTTACCGATTATCATTTTCTTAGCTACAATGTCGATCCAAGCCTTAAATTGCGTAGGGCTGAACATTCCTTTCAATTACTAGAACATAATTTAAATTTTGCCTTCGAAACAAATATAGCGACGCTATAAGAACGAATTATAGAACTGTGATATTTGTATTTTGGTTCAGACTACATAGATTTAAGTTTTTTTGAGTTTGAAATGTATGAAATTAATATGCTTGAAGCACCATCGAGGGACAAAACATTAGTAGGGGTAGTTTCTTCAATATATTTTAATGGTGAAATATACAACAATATCAATATTTGGTATGTCCAGTATAGCTCAGAACTTATTTAGAGGGTGTTTGACACCCATTTTAGTAGAAAAATGTGTTTTTGAATAATGATTGATAGAAGAATGTGTGGTTAAAAAATAAGGAGAATTTTTAGGTTTATGTGTAATATTATTTTATTGATAGAATGTGTGGTTGAAATGAAGAAAGAGGAAAAAAATGAGAATGAGAAAAAAATGGGTGCTAAATGGGGACTTATAGTACCTGCGACTTCATTAATAGTTACAAACATAAGGTCTATCATGTGAGATCTTATGTTAGATTGAAATAAATCACATGAAATACAACAACCCGAATAGATATACACGTTTGAATGTACCAATTACTTCAAGAAGATGAAAGTGGCAATCCGACATCTTTTCAGATGTATACTTTCATACTAGTAAGGTAGAATTGTAAGTATATTTCATTTTTTAAACATTATTATATTATATTAATTTCAAAAAAAAATTGCATACGAAATATTCATTTGTATACAATTTTAGCTTTGCATATGTATCGTATCCGATCCCAAGCAAGAATAAAGGAGTAAGGTTTTTAAAACTCTAAAATGCTTTTGACAAAATATAATTTCCTTAATTCTTCATTATACATTTTAAAGTTTGAATTCAAAAAACAAAGAGCAATTGTAAGCTGGCTCGCCGGGAAAAGCATAGCCTCACATCGATGTAGCGAGCTAGCTCATGAGAGCAGAACCTCATGGTGGGCCAAGCCAAGCATTAAACATCTCTAATCCAGTCTAAGCTTGATTTATTTTTGAACTATTTTATTTTTTTCATGTAGCCCGTGTCCAAAAACAAAATAAAGCCCATTTCTAAAAATAAAATAAGGCATGGGTTTTATACTAATTAGCCCACGTCCTTAGCCTTAAACTCAAACCCACCTTAATTGTCGCTTTATTCCCAAATTCATAAGCCGATTGAAATTTGAAACCCAACTCCCTTCTAAATTAACCTCATTCTTGATTTCTCCCCACACCATCCCCGTCTCCGAAAATTAGGACTATATTCTTGACTTTCCAACAATAATTACAAGATTTTCAACAGGTTATTAAGTTAGATGCTAAAAATTTATGCTTCAATCTGTAAGTTCTTTCTTTATCCCCATTTTCGTTTTAATTTCACAATTTGGATTCTAAGAAAAATTTATAGAAAACGAAAGAAAAATACCAAAATTTTTTTGAAGGTTAAAGTTGGTCACATAACCATGTTTTCCTCAAAAACTAGGAAAACATTTTTTCTTATGACGGGTAAATTTTATTTTCTATGCAATTCACTCTTCCCAAAAACTCAACTTTATGGAAAAATAAGACATTGTTTAAGTTAAAAATTAAACCAATCGATCACGTTTAATTGACAACTTCCATGCAAATAAGTTTTAGGCAATTTCAATTGTCTAGAACTTATTTTCTTTCCATGTAAGTTTCATACTTGCAATAAAACACATCATACGTGTAATTTGCAATTGGCCCCATTGAAAAAGTTTTCCCTAATTTCGTGGTTGCTTGTTGCATTAATTGGATCGGGTAGTATATTGAATCGTTAATATTTTTTCATAAAAAATAGACTGCAAGTTGCTTGAATGCTTGTTGCTAGACTGCTGGTGCCTAGTTACTTCACACTTGATTTCTCATTTGGCAATTAGCAAGTACTATGCTTGCCATCGCTTTTTTCCCCACCATTTTTTAGATAATTGCTATTGTGTATTTTAACAGTTTATATGTAAATGTTGGATTATTGTTGCCTTGTCAACAAATCACTGAATTGTTGATTGATTGGATAACTTGAACTTGTCAACTCATTATTGGATGTTATTGTCTTGCTAGCTTTTTGTTGGATTTTAGAATTGTTGTTGGAGTGCTAGATTATTGATGGATTGTTATTTTTTGTCTGCGGTTTATAGAATTTATAAATGAAAGGTCCACCTCCTCAGGAAAAGTAAGAACTTCTTTTCGTTCTTTTTAAGGGTAGATCAATCTAGTGAAAGTACACTCTACATCAAACAAGAATCGTTTATAAAATAAATATGAATTCTATTATAGAAGAATTTTATGTTTCACAATTAAATGACTTCTAATGTTATATATGAATTTTATTACTTCGACTTTTTTAAATTTCAGCCCCCATACTAAATTCTTCTTTCCACCTATGCTTGGAAGACATAAAAAAGAAATAGTGCAAATCCAGGATTCTATGCCAGTATACCACTTCATTTAGATAGGCTGTAAACCTGAAATCATAACTTGGCCAATAAAACAGAACCACCATGCTATATCACACACATTACATGACTAAAATGTTAATGCAGCATTCCCTAGCCTTATAGGCTCAAGGTAGAAAAATGATTACTTTGTAGTAAGTTGAGATTAAATAAGCAAATTAACAAAAAATGTTTCTCCTCTGTGTGTGTGAGTGATATGAAGGGTGAAAATTCATTTTTGGATGTAACAAACTCAAACCTGGCTCCGCTTCCACCTTCCTCGAAAGGCACAGGTAATCTTTCCTTAGGAAATAGCAAAAAATCCAGTTAGAACATCATCCTGACATAAAAAAGAAAAGACGTCAATTGACTTATGAGGAACAGAAGAATGTGCTTTATCAAGTTTCCATTTATATTGTTTGAAAGGAACTCAGAAATACAAATAAGAATGAAGATGAGCAATTATCATCTGTGGGAATAATCCCTTTACCTTGAATACACTAGTGACTACTGCAATTGTCATGACTCCAAAATTGCAATCGAGGAACTCGTGAAAGTAGAGAATTCAATAACATTCCACCATCTTTTCTGTTCAATGCCGTAATTTAACAGACCTCCAACTGAGTATCCAAATCTCTCCATAACTTGATAATGTGGAGGCTCTCCTCTTCTGTTGATCTATGTAGAACAATTCGAGAAGCATAACCCTTCTTCATCATTTGAAGACAAATTTCAGAGGGGTTATTAGCAGTGAGTGTAACCAAGTACAACCAACCTTTATCTGACAAAAGCTTATCAGCAACAGGCAATATCTTATCAATAACACTCCGTCCATTCTCACCTCCAGCCCAGGCAGATGCAATACCAAACTGACCAACTTCGTATTCTGGTGTTGGCACGTATGGCGGATTCACAACCATCACATCTACTGATCCAGCCAAACGCTTCTCTAACCCTGATGCAATGTCAGTTGTTAACAAATCAGCATGACATCCATGTGCTTCCATTGTTTTACGAGTCACTCCAACTGCATGAGGGTTAATATCCGTTGCAATGAAGTAGCAACCAGAACTATCTTTCCCAAGAATAAGAGCTAGAGAAGTAATAACGTATCCACTCCCGCAACCAACTTCCATGCAAATTGAAGGACGGTGCTCTAATAAGTTTGATCTATCAGCTAGAAGTGCATCAACCAATGCAAATGAATCATCACATGGGTCATATACTTCAGGATGTGAACTCACCAGACGGATTTGGGCAGTTTTGGAAAGCATTTTGAATAAAATCTGCTGAAATATTTTAATCTAATGAAGTACGTAAAGCAATGGACCTGAAAATTGTTGATATCAACAATACTAACTTCAGTCATGTTACAGAAACTCTACTTACATAAAAGAATCAGAGATGGAAATCCATTTGTAGCTTCATGTATAGTTGCCTCGGAGTTGAGTTTCTAGATTCAAGAATTCTCGTATCATATAAATCGATACCAAAAAATTAACTTAGCCTTTCCGTTTTTTCATTTTGGGCAGATAGCACTGCAGGTCCCTAAGCTTTTCAGTGTAACAAGTTGGTCCCAACCTATTACTTCACTGCTTTGAAAGCACACTCCCCCGCCTTCCCCCATATAGTTTCCCCAATTCCCACCATCCATTGTGACCAATTTGCTACAAACTTGAAAGGCTGGAGACGACTTAATAGGAATGTCCATTGCTATTCTTCCTTTCATTATTTCCAGAAAGTAGTTAATCAACTTTGAACTTTGAGTATTTTTTGTTTCCCGAACGTCAATTAAAGACCTTCAACGGTTTTATATTTTACATTAAAAAAAAAAAAAAAAAATCTCCTCCAATTCATTCAGCATTACTCAAATAGAACAAATTAATCTTTAAGTGACAAGAATCAATTGTCATCCAGCACAAATTTTACCAGACGGGCTGTCAGTTCTAACGGCAAGGAGAAAACCATAAACGACCACATCAAAATTCAAGAGAGATTGTCGAGAAAATCTCTGTTATGTAACGAAGATTACTACTAAAGAAACAACAATTTTGGGGAAAAAATGAATAAATTCAAGGAGCTAGAAGCTAATGAGAGTGGCGGGTGGACGAAGTGTTCAAATTAAATCATTCACAACAATCAAATCGCATGCGAAATTAAAATGTAAAGCCCGTTTTTGCACAAATACCTTCCAGGATTGGTTATGCAGAAGTTGACTTGTCCTGGTAGAAATCACGGCAACACACAATAAATTGGTGACGAGAAACCCTTGGTCCTAGACTCGTATTTCTCTGTCACTGTCAATAAGACTTCAAACGGGACTGGGTTATAGTTGAATATGCACTTATGGATTACATCGGGAGGCTTTTAATTGGGCTTTACATGGCTTATAAGCCATGTTCAATGTGAAGGCCAAACTTAAAACTTAGCTCTTGTTTGACACTCATTTTATGGAAGAATTTGATTTATAATAGTGATTGATGGAAAAATGTGTGATTAAAAAGTAAGGAGATTTTTTGGATTTATTTGTAATATTATTTTATTAATAGAATATGTGGTTGAAATGAAGAAAGAGAAAAAAATGAAAATGAGAATGAGATAAAAAAAAGGATGTCAAGTAAGGGCTTAACTTACTTCTGGTGGAAATTACACCAAACCAAAGTATTCAACATTCTAAAATCAGATCGAGTTGTTATTATTATTTTTTGAGGAAATTACACCAATCCATACTTTAAATATTCAACATTCTAAAATCCGATTGAAAGTTTGATATTTCAAAAATCAGAGTTTTTTTTTATATTAATATATTTATTAAATATATATTATCCAATACACAATTTCACAAACCCTAATTACCCACTCTCCTCCCTTTCCCCTCTCTCCCTCCATTTCGAATCCATCAGCCTTCCCGTCGCCTCTCTCTCTACATTTCTCCCACAAAGGCATAGCCCATCGCCTTCCCGTCGCCTCCCGCCGTCTTCTCCAGTCGTCTTCGCCTGACCATCACCCTCCTTCTATTCATTTTAGAAGTGAATCATCGACGAGCCCAGAAGCAATTGCGAAGCATATCTACGCCTGACGTGGTGTTTTGTGTAGTTGTTGGTAATGGCGGATCTAGCAGTTGTGGTGATGGTGGTGTATCTGTGGATTTCAGTGCAATGGTGGTAGTGGTTTTCATGTTTTGTTGGGTTTCCGTTTCGGCCAGTTGGATTTTCTAGTTGCTGGACTTCATTGGTTTGGTCTTTATCCATACTTGGTGTTGGGAGGTTGGATTTCTGGCTCAATATTAAGGAATCTGCCCAGCTACTTGGTTGAAATTCTGGAATTTCAGGTTGAAGATTTGGTGTTCATCTTCATATTTTGAAAGGTGTATGTATATTGTATGTATAGTTGCTGTTTTCATAGTTAAATTTGAATTGTTGGTCAAATGTTTCCTACAACCTACTATCTGTTGGCCGGTTTCAGTGCGGTGGTGGTACGGTGCAGGGGACCATCTGGTGGTTGCGGTGGTGCGGTGCAGGCGACGGTTGTTTGGTGGTGATTCATGACCAAGATTGGTGGTGCATAGGGGTCTATGGTGGGATGTTTGGTATATGTAAATGTGACCAACTATTTGGACTGACTGATCTTAACATTCGATAATTTGTGACTAAAAATTAATCTATGACCAATAAATTTGAAAACATGTGACTGATAGATAAATTGTGACCTATAATTTTTTGATCCGTGACCAATTAAATAATCTGTGACATATAAAATTATTGATTTGTGACTTACAAAATTTTGATTTATGACCGATAAATAAATTGTGATTTATAAAATTTTTGAACTGTGTCTGTAAAATAATTTGTGACGTATAAAAATTCTGATTTGTAATCAAAAAATAAGTTAAACGGTGACCTTAAATTTTGATAATTTATGACTAAGAAACAATCTGCGACCAAGAAATTTGAAAACGTGTGATTGATAAATAAATTGCAACCTATAATTTTTTGATCAGTGACCAATGAAGTAAAATGTGACCTATAATTTGATAATTGGTGACTGTCTAATAAGTTGTGACTTATAATATTTGTGATTTGTGACCGATAAAAAATTGTAAAGTATAAATTTTTTATTTGTGACCGATGAATAAATTGTGAAATATAAAAATTTTGAATTGTGACCAATAAAATTTTGATTCGTGACCGATGAATAATTCGTGATATATAAAATTTTGATTCGTGATCGAGAAATAAATCGTGATCAATAATTTGATAAATTGTGATCGAAAATTAATTTGTGACTAATTAATTAGAGAATTGTGATCAAATTGAATATAACTGTGACCTTAATATTTTAATTAGTAAAATATACATTTAATAAATTAATTTGTAAATAAATTTTAACAAAATCTGATTTTGTCGTCGAAATTGATTTTTGTCGCCAGAATAGTTCGTCGGAACTGTAGCCGGAATGATCGCCAGAGAAAAGTTGTGACTGGAACGGTCGTCTGAGCTGTTGGGATGGTGGAGATGGGTGGGTTAATTATATTATAATTAAATATTTAATAATAAATTAATTTAATAATTTATTATTTCATAAATAAAAATTTAAAAAAATTTAAAAAAAATCTAATTTTGGTAACTTTAAACTTGTGTTCTTATTTTTGAAATAGACTAAACTTAATTTATTTTTTCATAAATAAAAATAAAAAAATCTAATTTTTGAAATTTGAAATTAGTTTTTTTAGTTTTGAAATAGGTGATACTTATTCTCTTGTTTCTGAAATTTTCCCTTACTTTTATTAACGGGGAAATTACAAAAAAAAAAAAAAAGATAATTAGTTTTTCAAATTCAAAAATCAGATTTGAAGTTCATTTAATCAAAATTCAGGTATTGGTGGTGGATCGGGATCGAGGGTGAGGGTTTTTGGTGTATGTGACCAACTATTTTGTTCATTATGACTAACTATTAAAATGTGATTTTAAAATTCGATTATTTGTAATTAAAAAATAATCTGTGACCAACAAATTTGAAAATGAGTGACCGATAAATAAAATGTGACCTTTAATTTTTTTGATATGTGACCAATGAAATAAATTGTGATATATAAATTTTTTGATTTGTGATCTCGAAATATTTGTGACAAAAAAAAAAAAGTTGTGACTCGTGAGCATGCATATGTGATCATGACTTATATAATTGTGATTTTAATATATTTAATTAATTAACAAATACATTGAATTTTCAATTTGGGAAACTTGAGACCTAATTTGTGAACTCTTCCCTTTATTAATATCGGTCAAAGTTGAATGTACATTTTACGTTATTTTGAAATAATTTATAAGTATTGTGAAAGTCGTATTTGAGATTAATTTGTTGAGAGGATTTGATAAGTCTCGAGCAAATTAAAGAAAATAAATTTAATATATAAATTTAAGAGTATAAAATTGTACTCTCAAAATTCAATTTCTATGATTCAGTTTTTTTGTGATGATGAAATATTACAAATTAACAACCTTTTTAATATTACATTTGGTATATAAACATTAATTTTTAATACATAAATTTAAACATCTATTAAAATTCCTAAATACATGAATAAAAATAAATTCATTTATAATAACTCTAGATTCACGTAGAATAAGATTTATCAAATCAATATTTATTGAGTCTAGATTAATGTAAATGTTAACTAATTGAAAATCAATAACACAGAATTCATACATGATAAAGATTTTGTAGTATTTATTACATATTGGAAAATGAAAAATAAGGTATTATTGAAATAATTGAATTATGGTTAAAATCGTCAAAAAAATGATTTTCACTTGACGTGAAATTTAATATATATTATAGATATTAAATATTTATTTATTCTAAAAATTATTTAATAATTAAATTAATACATACAAAAAATCTAAAATCATAGAATACTATATATTTATTTACTAATTCCTACAATTAATAAAATACAACTTTTAAGTTTTCGAAATGTAAAAGATGATTTTTCAAGGTTTCAATTTTCAACTAGACAAATCATATTTAATAAATTTATACGAACTTCATATATAATTTCGAAGTTTTTAACAAAGTGATTAGCCTGAAAATCATAATTATAGAATATAGATACTATTATACCTTAAATCTTATCTAAATCTTTATCGGATAAAGTCATTTTTTACTTTTGTACAAATAAATTCATTTAAAAATTCAAAGTTTTTAATAAGGTCCACACTTATTTTCAAGACAAAGTGCTTTACCCGCGTCTCGCGCATATAAGGCTTTTTAG